TCAATAGTTAATAAAAGGTTTACTTAGCTATGACATAGAAAGGATACTGAACAAGCACACAGCACTTAGCTTGTGTAGATACAGTCTGCCTCTATCTCCTTATGGAAACATGACTGGTCAGCAGGGCAGACTATGGTTATTTGAGAAGTCTTGGTACAATCAACAAATTTGAAAGGTCCTTGCTTCATGTGGGTGGGCCTTTTAATGCCCTAAGGTAACCAAGAAGCCTTGTTAATGAATCCTGAGACTACCAGGAAGCTGAATTAATGGTTAGGCTTCCTGAGTCTTAGTCCCTTGGGCCAGTCAAAGGGACAGTTCCTTTGACTTTTAAGTAAAGAACTAGCCTAAAATATATGGCAGGGGGTAGGGAAAGAATCAGGTAGATATTGTTCCTATCATATCCCAAACTTTGGTGGCAAGCTCCTGAAAGTCTTCTAGAACTACAATTTAAATGGTTTTTTGAGCCATTCCTGGATGATCCATATCTTGGGATTGAGAAGGGGAGTCTGGCAGAGCAGTATTGGAATGAAAAAGAAGTGGGGAGAAGCTAAATGAAAAATATAAAAAAGGAATACAACCAAATAGAATGTAATGGTCCTTTGAAAGAGTGACCAAATGTGAAAGAGAAACACCAGTAATCTTCATTTCTCCAATTTAGTAGACCATGTCCAAGATTTCAATGATCTGATCAATATTGTGGGTGTTGCTAAAGCATTGTAGTTCACAGTAAGACTCCTGATGGAAGAAGCGATAGTGAGTAGGAGCATCACCAGCAGCACCAGGGCTATAGCCAAATGAAGACACCTCTGGTACAGTCACCTCTTCTTCATCATGAATTGGGGTCATCTGTAGTAAGAAAGCTAAGAGATCATTGTCCTCTTTCATGCAGACTGTCCCAGTATAGAGCTAATACCAAGACTTGCCCTTTACCACACTATCCTTGGTGTTTCCCAGCTGAACAATTAAAATATCTCTCTCCCTGGGAGCTTCAATGGGAAATTAGTTCCAGATGTCTACCCCTTTAGAAGCTTCTATTGAGGGGCTGCTCCCTTATTTCACAGGGGCTGGATAAGGATATTGCTTTCATCTTGAGACTCAGAATTATCACTAAGGCAGCCAAGAGTCCTCCTTTTTCCAAGTAAATTTGCCATAGTTATGATAAAGCAAAAGCTTCTACTTCCCAAATCTTGGTCCACCAAAGATCTTTCTTGGAAGGAGTTGACTGAACCATCCCCCCAAAAGAGAAGATCTGCCTTTTGAAAGGGACCCGAGCTGTTTTCTCAAGATGTATAGAGCCCTCTGAGTGGGGAAGGGAACTTAAGGCATAGGTGACTCTGTGTCAGGGAAGAAATAAAAAAAGAGCCAGCTATGACTACCTCCAAAAGCACTTAATCCTTTTTTTTTTTTTTGGTAAATCATCCTAGAGACTAGATTCAAGAAACCACTGGACCAGAAACTCCTCTGCTTTTCTATAGCAGCGTACATTCATCACAGATATGGTTTCTGGAAGGATATACACACAACTTTGGTGATAAGCAATACAGTGATGAAGCTATTGATTTGTAGTGACACAACTTTTGACCCCAAAATAGAATAAGAGGGCCCATTTGCCAGCTGGGGATAGGGTGAGTGCCATGTGGATTATGTGCACACTCCAATTGGCATAAGGATTCAAGGTCAGCAAGAGTAGATGTCTTGTCCTTAGTTACACCCACTAGGTGCTCTACAACTAGCGTGGTGTCATGGCTCCCACATGCAGTTTGGCAATTGACACTCCCCAACCTTTGCTTTCCTTACTACAGCTTCAGTTTGGATTAGTTCAGCAAATATCTATGATGAATGCTGACATGTCCTACAAACTATACGCAATAAGAAACATCTGAAAAATTCCTCCATTGGTTCTGACCTCAAAGGGGAGAGCTTCTGATTGCCCAGTTCTCTTCTCTCCAGAATCCAGATTACTTGGCCCATGACCATTTCCCAGGATTGAGTACAGATGAAAATCCTAACCAACCTGTTACTGAGGTTATTTTACATGGATAGGAATTCCATATATGCCCAATATTCTAGTTTACTGGTCACTTCTGCAGATGCTCATACCATTTTTCAGGAAGATGTTTTCTTACGGAGAGGGTATCATGTTCACAAATATGGATCATGGTTGCAAGGATGTGCTCAGGTCATCTGCTATGATCAAACATGGGATTTTGGGAATGACAGCAATGAAGAGTGAGAAAGAGCAAACAGACAAAGAAAGCTTAACTCTGTTACTTAGCTAAGGGGTCATACACCCTTTGCCTGAAGTTTATCTCTTGGCTTTTGGCTACAGATTAATCATCTCTTCTTACCTCCATATTACTCATACTTGAATATCAACTTCCTCTCCCCAGGGGAATATTTGTATGGGTAGAAACAAACTATAAATCCAATATTTGCCAATCCCTTGTTCTTCCTTGGTTATAGCTTTGATACTGTCTACTCCTTGACCTTCACCCAGGGGTTTAGCAAGAGTATCAGTTGGATTACATATCCCCTTCCTTAGATATAAATCCTTTAATCCCCACCATCACTATATACTCCAGTCATGTAGCAACATAACATATAGTTTCACTTTCTTTGTATAATCTAGTTCTAATATTGCCTTTACCACAACTATCATTTGCCTTTATGTGCTAACCCTAACATGGCCTAGATTTTCCAATCTAAGTGGGAATTAAAATTTTAAATAGAGCAGTATTTTCTGTGTTGCTTATTGGAGCTTATTCTATGTCCACTATGTCCAGTCCAACTATCCCCAAAGTGGAAGCCACTCAAAAGAAAAATGGATATATAATATTTATTGGTATTATGTCTGAGAAGACTACTTTCTGTATTTTGGGTTTCATTGTTCAAAAGTATTAGCCAACTTTGAAGAGCTTATGATAGTTTAGGAGATTTGTTCTGTGAAGTTTGGATTCAGCCAAAGGGCCACACTTAAGGACCTAGAAGGCCAAATGTGGCCTCCAGGATGCAGGTTCCTCATTCCTGGATGCAGGTTCCTCATTCCTGGTTTAGGCTAACAATCATTTGAGTGAGAAAGCCAGTCCATTTCTGGAGTATAGGAGTGGATAAAGTAAATGAAATTGTTCTTTAAGGATGTAATCCATTTTTTTACCACTTCACACATTAGAGATGATGTGGGAGTTATTTCCAGGTTGTGTGATGATACTTTGCCAGTTTTGCACATGTTTGGTGATGAGGTGTGTCTTTTGGTCCAAGGATATTGTTGTTCTTTCCTCATTTTCAAAGAAGACCAATGACATCACAATGTTGGAATCGGGGTACAGTGTGTTTGGGCTAATCAGACCAATGTGAGTTTGGGAAGGCACTACCATAGATTGGGCACAAGTGGTCATTTAGAACATTTAGAGTGAAAGTGGCCCTGTATTTGTGCATTTTACATTTCCTTTGTGCTTCTACAGTTCTATTTGGTTCATGGAGTGCCTTCTTTGATGTGGACATGCTATGCTGTGCCAGCATTTCCCACAACTCACAGTTAATACTATAGTTTTTCAGACATACTTTAAAGAGTATCCTTATACTCTTAGGCTTCTTCTGGCTATCATGTGAAGGCTTATTTTGTGAGAGTTCTCTATAAAACAGTCTTTTGAGTAAGTGTGTTTAATATTTAAACTTCATGGCCAGTCCATCAGAATTGTGCTCTTCACAATAGAGTTTAAATGCTTGTCAGTTCAGCTCTAGAGAGGACCTCAGTGTCTGGTACCTTATCTTGCCAGCCAATCTTCAGGATCTTACTGAGACAATTCAAATGGAAGTGCTTCACTTTTCTGAACATGGCATGGCACTGATAAACTGTCCATGTTTCACAGACACACAACAATTTATTTAGCACAACAGTTCTATAGACTTTCAGTTTGGTATGCAGCCTGATACCTCTTCTCTCCCACACTTTCTCTCAAACCCTCCCAAACCCTGAGCCAGCTCTGGCAATACATGCATCAGTTTCATCATTTATGCTCCACAATGATGTCATGTTTTCCCAGTCACCTATGGAGTAAAGCAGGATGGTGTGTTTTCCCCCATGCTTTTCAACATGATGTTTTCTGCAATGTTGTCAGATGCCTTCAACAAGGATGAAAAAGGTATCATGATAAGCTTCTATACCAATAATAAACTATTTAAGTTGAAAAGGTTACAAGCTAAGACCAAAGTGGAAAGGGAGTTGATGTGTGACTGATGATTGTGCACTCAATGTAGCTTCTGAGGCTGAGATGCAACAGAGTATTGATTGATTCTCTGCTCCGTTAATTTTGTCCTGACAATCAACACCAAGAAAACAGAAGTTCTGCACCAGACAGCACCAAACCATCCATATGTGGAATCATTGGTCACAATAAATGGAGAAATTTTGAATGCTGTAGATAAGTTTACTTACCTTGATGGTACACTTTCCAGTGCTATCCAAGGATATTAATTTCATAAGGAAGAAGAACATGATTGGTGGGGACAATGATGATGATGGGTCCCATAGCCATCTTACTTGGTACTGAAATTCCTGACTAGAACTATTAGAGCATATCACTTTCCATTACTCACGGGAAGAGAATGAATGTAGTCCACTGAACAATCTCTACAACTTGAGATTCTCTGGGTATATGATTTTATTGTTTTTAAATCAATCAACAGCATTTATTAAGCACCTGCTACATTTCAGGCACTATGCTAAGCACTGGGAACACAAAGAATGACAAAATAAAGTCCCTGCTCTCAAAGAGTTCAAAAGAGAGACAATATGTTAATAATTATGTGCAAACAAGATATATACTGAATAAATACAAGAAACATTGTAAAGTTAGGAATGACAAGATTTAGCAACAGATTGGATATGTGGGGTGAGTTTGAGTGAGGAGTTAAAGATGATACTAGGGGTAGTTAGGTGACACAGTGGTTACAGCATGGCTCTGGAGTCATGAGGACCTGAGTTCAAAACTAGCCTCAGACATTTGACACTTCCTAACTGTATGACCCTGGACAAGTCACCTAACCCCAACTGCCTCACCCAAAAAAAAAATGACACTGAAACTATGAGTCTGAGTAATAAGGAGATTTGTGGCACACTCAAATGTAATTAAATTCAGAAGAGAGAAGTGTTCGGAGAGAAAGATAATTAGTTTTGTTTTGGCTATGTTGAACTTGAGATTTCTATAGGATATCCAATTTGAGATGTTTAAGAGTCAGTTGGTAATATAAGACTGGAGGTTAGGAAAGAGATAACGGCTAGATAAGTAGCTCTGGGAATCATTGGCATAGAGAAAAACATTGATGTTACTAATCGTGATAGCAGAGGAGAAGAAGGCTAAGGATAGATCCTTTGGGGCCATCTCCAGTTGGGAGGTATAACCTGGAGGAAGATCCAACAAAGGAGACTGAGGAGTGATCAGACAGATAGGAGAACCAGAGCAGAGCAGTGTCATGAAAATCTAGAGGAGAGATTATTCAGAGTCAGAGGCTACAGAGAGGTCAAGAAGAATGAAGATTAAGAAAAGGCCATTAGAGTTGAAAATTAAAAATCATCGGTAAGTTTGAAAAGAACAATTTTGGTTGAATGATGTGGTCAGATCATGAAAGAAGAGGATGTAGGAAGCCAAATGTAGCTGGCTTTCTAAGGAGTATAGCCATGAAGCTATATAGTATAGCTGGCTAGTATAGCTAGCCAGCAAGAACATTCAGATCAAATCAATATTTTATTTTTTTGTTTATTAAGGATAGAGGAGTTACGGGCCTCTTTGTAGGCAGCAGAGAAAGCACTCAGTAGGTGGGAAATCATTGATCGGTGAGAGAGAAGAAATGAAAGAAGAGAGTGTTCTGCTGGAGAGGATGGGATGAAATTCTATTTGTTTAGGTAATTCACTGGAGACTATTATACTAGGCTACATGTGGCAGTCCCACTGTCATTCTTGGTGAAAAGTTTTTTATATATATATAGTTTATTGATTTCATAGGAATGCAGAAAATATGCTTAGAATGGCATGCAAATGCAGAGGAAATCCCTAAACATCTAGCTGAAGCCAGTCATGGGCTTTCATCCCAGTCCTCTTATCTTTCTTCACTAATTTAAATGTAATTAGTCAGTGAGTAAAAATACATGACTCAAAAATATTTGATTAACTTACTTCTGTGACAAAATATAAGATCAATAAGGTAAATTAACAGGATTACAAATGATTCCACTGAACTTAAAGGGAACTTGGGATGTTTGGCCCTTCAAGGCTCTTCTTGAGGGAGGAGTTTCCATTTTACTGTTGTATCCAGCTCTTCTTCAAAATCTCCAAGCTCCTGATCCTTTGACAACTCTAGAAAGACCTAAAAAATGGGGAGGAAAGGAAGGAGATAAAAAAAGATTGAGAAAAAAGAAATGGCAAGTTGATTTCTGTACTCCAAATGAATGGGAAGAGACTATAAAGCACATTAAAATTGCCTGGCAATATAGCATACCTGTTCCAAAGTGGACTGAGAGAGGCTGTATTCATCCAGGTTGAAGGTATGTTTAGCTGCACAAGAATAAATTTCATATTAGACTATTACCACATATATTTCATTCATTATTTAGAAGTCAGAGTACAACATAAATGGCAAATAGAAATCATTCGAGCATTTGGTGGTCAAAGCTTCAGGAGTCAAATACTTAGCCAGTAGCCCTGTTTGCTAGAAAGTGGAAGCCTAGGGCAAAAAGAAACCTAAATCCCTGTTATCTTAATCAGGGAAACCCTCGTGCACGTGGAGGAAGCACCATGTAAAAGCACATGCTCTAGACACCAAAGTTCTAAATCCTATTTTGAACTAAGGACAGCTTAATACTGCATATTCATTAGTAGAAGTTCTGCTGAGGAAGTAGGCATAACAATTTGCTTCCTATTTTAATGACTTCTCAGTTCCTAGTCATCCCAGCCTAAAGCACCAATATCTTGCACATACTCCCTCCTCCTAAATATTCACCTTTATTCTTTTCATCTCTATCTCTCCCCAGTCTTATTCCAGGTGGTTCATTAATCAATTAACCCATACCATTGCACCCTTTGGAATATCCCTCCTTTAATGATAAATTCCCCTACGAACTCGAACTTTTCAAATGACATTATGCTTAGAAAATAGACCATGATCCACAAAGGCTTATAGGTTGAGGACACCAAGAAACAATGAAGATGCTCCTGGAAGAGGAAGTAGGGCAGGACAGGAAAGAGGAGGGGCATTGCTGGGTGGCTAATAAGTTAGGGAGAATGCTAATTTCTCATTTTAACTAATTTTTTGTGCTAACATGGTACTACTCTCAGTTGTCTCTGCCTACTGAAGAAATGCAAATGCTATCAGTGTTCTTTAAATTTAGGTGTACTAGGTAAAGCTCCTATTCTCCTACCCTTGTTGTGGCTCCATCTTTAAAAAAAATATGTATATAGTACTTACTATGTACCAAGCAATATACCAAGCACTTCATAATTTTGTATTATCTGATCCTGACAACAATCTTGTGAGGTAGATATTATTATTATCTCCATTTTACAAATGAGGAAACTGAGACAAATAGAGGTTAATTGATTTGCACAGGGTAACACAGCTAGTAAGTTCCTGAGACTGGATTTGAAGTTAGGTCTTCCTAACTCCAGGCCCAGCAGTCTATCTACTCTACCAACTTGCTGTTCCAGGTCTCAATCCTGTTAAGATCATTTTATTACTTTTTTCATTCAAATTTAGAGAATTCACCCCAAATGTTCACGTGGACTATTTGTGTCCAGCCTGTGGTAGAGCATTCCAAGCTTGCATTGATCTGAGCAGCCACAGTCAGATACATTGTAACTTGACTCTAGCATAGCAATGTCATTTTGGTCCTCTTCAACAATGAAGGATGACAACCAACCAACTTTTTTCATGAGTTGGTTCCTGATTCGTGGTCTCCCTCTACATTTATCCGGAAAAACCTTTTGGCAACCTGATCTCTCAATTCTTCTGTATTCTCAACTCTAATGACCACTTTCACCCCACTGAAGCCATGTCTGACACAGCTACACCTTAGAATTCACAGTATAGTACACCTCCAAGAACAAGATCTTTGAAATACTGTTCTTTAATCACAGACTTCTTATTTTTTTATTATTCTACTTTAAATGAATTATTCACATTTATCATGACCTTTGGTTTCTTGAACTATTCCCATTCCCCTAATCCAGGGGTGGAGAACCTTCAGCCCCCTAGGTCTTTAAGTGCAGCCCTTTGACTGACTCCAAACTCATTGAACAAATCCCATTAATAAAAGGATTTGTTCTGTAAAACTTGGACTCAGTCAAAAGGCCACACCCAAGGACCTAGAAGGCTACATGTGGCCTTGAGGACACAAGTTCTCCACTCAGGACCTAACCCATCTTCTTCATTCTGGTTTTTTTCACTGAGACCAAATCTTGACTATCCTCTTCTGCTCACCGCAGTTAACATGTAAGTAGCTTCTGCAATAGAGTCCTTTGTACTTCTTCCCTTCTCCTTCTGTCAGACAAGGAATCTTCATCCCTAAAGAATTGCTGTTGATTTCTGTAATCCAGAAGCAGAGCTAATGAAACTTCTTAGAGAAAACCTTTGGCAATAAAGCTTTAGTTCCCACCTCCCTAAAGAAATTACTCTCTCTAAGGTAGGTATTCTTAACTTGGTGTGCATGAACTTAGTTTTTTTTTTTAATTTAGTAATTGTATTTTAATGTAATTTATTTCCTTTGTCATCCTGTGCATTTTGTTCTACGCATTTAAAAATATTCTGTAGTCTTCACAGACAAAGCAGTCCATGATAAAAAAAAAAAAAAAGATTTAAAACTACTGTTCTAGGGCATCTAGTTATCTCCTAACTACTAAATACAGAGGCCCCTTTCAGGTTCATCATCCTTGATCTTTCTGCATAATTTGGCACTCTTGGGTCCTGCTAGATACTAGATACTTTCTTTCTTCAGAGGCTGCTGAGATAGTACACTCTTCTGGTTCTCAGGCCTTTAATCAATCCTTTCTCTTCCTTGGATCCTTAACTTCTTATCAACTTAATTCAGGAAATCCTCTTGGGGTCTATTGTCAGCCCCTTCACTTTTCTCTGTCTTCTTTCTTCTCTATCTCATTCATTCTACTAGGAATAAATATCACACTACTATGCAAGTCAAGCGAACAAATATTTGCTAAGCACCTACTATGTGCCAAGCACAACACTAAGTGCTAAAGACAAATATACTTACTGCTCCTAAGGATCTCATAGTCTAATTAAGAAGATAATTTGCAAACAACTATGTATAAACAAGATGTGTACAGGAAAAATTGGAAATAATCTCTGAGGAAATGGACTAGCATTAAGCTAGGATTTTATAGCTGAGACTTAAAGGAATCCTGGGGGAAGGAAGATGAGAAAGAGAGATGAAGAGGGAACGAATTCCAGGAATAATGCACAAAATGCCTGGTATGGAGAAAGTATGTTTTTCAGGGGAACTGCAAAGAGGACCGTATCACTGAATTGAGCAGAGCACATGGAGGGGGAATAAGACGTAAGAAGAGTATAAAGGTACACATAAATCAGGTTACAAAGGGCTTAAAAAGCCAAATGGGAAAACGGGATTTTATATTTGATTGTGGGGTTAACAGGGAGTCACTGGAGTTTATTGAATAGGGGTGGAGTGTGTGTGTGTGTGTGTGTGTGTGTGTGTGTGTGTGAGAGAGAGAGAGAGAGAGAGAGAGAGAGAGAGAGAGAGTTAGACCTGTGCTTTAGGAAGATCACTTTGATAAATGAGTGAAGAATAGCCTGGAGTTGGGAGAGACTTGAGGCAGGGGGACCAACCAGCAGGTTATCATGATAGCAAAGGAGTGGGGTGATAAGGGCTTACACCAATGTGGCTGCAGTATCAGAGGAGAAGAGGGGAAATTTAAAAGATTTACAGCACTTTGTATGAGTTTTCTCCTTTTATCCTAACAATAACATTTCTATAGTGCTTTAAAATTAGAAAAGTACTTTGTAAATATTATGTCATTTTATCTCATAACAACCCTAGGAAGTACTATTATTATCCCCATTTTACAGATGAAGAAACTGAGGCAGACAGAGGGTAAGTGACTTGCTTGGGGTGTTCAGGCTCTTCTCTGAGAGAGGATTTAAACTCAAGTCTTACTGATTCCAGGTCCAATGCTCTATCCACAGTACCACTTAGCTGCTTCATTTCTTCTTTGGAAATACAAGATCTTGTTCTCAAACTCTACCTACTAGACATTTGTTTACTTCAGATATATGCCCTTTCCTTATGAAGCCAATTCTTTCAATAATGAAAATATCACTAGGTGTTGCTAAGATCTCCAGTTTTTTGCCCAGGATTTTATGCTTCAATATTCTTCTATTTAGTTATTTGTATGGATGTATTCCACTGAGCACCCAGGCCATAAGGTAGCCAATATAAGTAGTGCTAAGGGCAGGCAAGACAGTAATCTGCAAACTATGAATAAATAGCTTGACTTAGATTCTTTTGCAAAATTTGAGAATGTATTACTAAAAAGATTGTTGAGTGAACATGAAGAAGAGGAACAATAGTCACAGAAAGTTGGCATGGCCTCTTCAGGAATGGGCCATGTCATTTTCGTTTTTTTTGCCAGAGTTGCCAAACTAATAAATTAGGGGAATACTGTAAGTAATTAAATGATCAAAAGCAAACCATTTTTTAAAATCCCCCCAAAATTAAAAAAGCGAAATATTCAATAAAATCTATTACATAATCCTTCTGGAGAAGAATAAGAGGGGGACCAGATGATAGCACTGTTAGATAGAGTTAGAACTGGGTGACTAGCAAATCTGAAGAAAAATTATTGATGATTTCATGTCAGTTTGGAAGGTGGTGTCCAAAGAAGGGTCTAAAGTTTTTATGCTTTACCCTATACTGCTTAGCATATTCTTCAGTTGCTAGAAAAAAAAGAAAGCTTTCTTAACACTTATCAAATTTGAAGATGAAACAAAGTTGGGAGAAATAGCTAACACAATATGGCTGACCAGGGATGGAGTGCACCAATATCCAAAAAGATCTTGACAAATTGGAATATTGGTTGAAATAAACTAAGAAGAAATTTAGTGGTGATTGACATCCTACACTTGTGTACCAAAAATCAACTTCATGAATATGAGAATAGGAAGGCATGTTTAGTAGAAGTCCAGATGAAAAAAAAAGCTGATGGTTTTAATGATTTGATATGTGAGTCAAGAGCATGATCTGGTGACCAGGAACGCTCACGTAATCTTAGGCTATATTAAGAGAGACTTTGTCCAGGAATAATGATCATCCTGCTGTGCTCTGACATTGTCCAACTACATTAAGAGCAGATGTCATTCCTGTGTGCCACATTTTTAAAACAATATTGATATGATGGAGAATATAAAGTGGAAGACAACCAGAATGGTGAAGGGACATACTTTCATGTCATATGAAGATTGATTAAAGGAAAGAAGAATATTTATCCCTGAGAACAGAAGGCAATTGGAATATTTGACATCGAGGAAAGTTTAAACTTATTCTTATTGGGCCTAGAAAGCTGAACCAACGGGGGGAAATTGCAAACAGGAAGATGTAATCTTGATGTAAAGAACAACTTACTGACAACTTGAACTACCTAAAAGTAGAAAGAGCTACTTAGGGAAGTAGGGGGTTCTTCCTTGTGGCAGGCTTCTATCATAAGCTAGATGACCACTTGTTATGTTGTAGGAGGGATTATTTCTCAAGTATCGGTTGGAGAATGTGGTCACTGAGATACCTCCTCACTCTGAAATTCCATGATTGTAGGGGTACAGACATTTGCCTAGGAGATGACACTGATTTGTGGAGGAATATTTAGGGATAGGAAAAGGCAACACTGCTAGAAGGAATACTTTTATTATCAATTAGTATAAATGTAAATAGAATTTATTGACAGAAAATTCTTCTCTTCCTTGGGATACAGGTGACATCTGTGATAAGTTGAGTCGTATGTTACAGTAAGAAATGGCACAAAGCCTCGGTTAACACACAGGAAATGAAATAATCAAGTTTTATCTAGATCATATAAAAACTTTGTCTGGACTCAGAGGTCTTGAGGGAATATGCCATTTGATAGAGAGTTATTCCTTACCTTAAAGTTATAAACATATTCACAGAGTCATGGTTATAAATTCCAAGCTAAAATTCTGCAACTTTCTTTGTTCCAATGTCCTAAAACTGGTCAACTACAAGAATGGATATTGCTTTTACAAGGTAATTTTCAAGTTGTTTATTATATTATTTTGTCACAATGACTGAAACATTGATTAATTTCTAGTTCTGACACTTTGTGCTATGTGACTTGAAGGTTTTTAAAAAAAATTATTACTATGACCTTGACAAACACAAACAAAAATGAAATTTTCCCCCCACACAAAATAAAATAGGAAAATTGGACTGCAAAAGAAAACACAAATCTCTGCCATAATCTCTATAGCATGTTTAAAAAACATTTTAATATCCTCTGACCATTTATCTATTAGAAAACTGTGTATGTTATTAATACTTACATTAATTCCCTATGTATTTTGGATATCCAAATATATTTGGATATTTTGCATATCAGAGAAATTTGCTGCAAATATTTTCCTCCAGTTAACTATTTCCTTTCTAATTCTCTATATGATTTTGGATGAATCACTTAACTACTGCATCTCAGTTTCATCAACATTAAAATGATGATAATAACACATGTGGCCTACTTCACAGGATACTTGTTAGAAAAAAAATACTTTAAAAAATCTCAATATAAAGGTTATAAACAGTTTTTAAAAAGAAAAAAAGCAAGCTATCAATAGCTAAATAAAAATGATGCTCCACATCACTAATAATTAAACAAATCCAAATTAAAATGACTTTACAGTCCTACCTCACATCTGTTCAGATTAGCAAAGGTGATAAAAAAAAAAAAGAGGAAAATGACAACTGCTAGAGGATCTACAAAAAACAAAAACAGGTATATCAATGCCCAGTTGGTGGATCTGTGAAGTGGATCTGTATTCTGGAAAACAATTTGGAGTTGTATCCGAAAGTCACTGAATGGCACATACCTTTTGACCCAACAGAACTATTACTGGGTACATACCTCAAAACAATCCAAGAAAGAACAAAAATTCCATATTCAGAAAAGAAAAACCCATTTATCACAGCAAATTTGGTTATAGCACAAAGCTGAAAACAAAGTGGGCACCCATTAATTAGAGAAGGGCTAAACAAATTATTATATATGAATGTAATGGTATCATTGTACTGTAAGAAATTATGAAAAGGAGAGATTTCGAGAAACCTAAAAGGACTTGCATGAGCTGATAGAGTGTAGTAAGCAGAACCAAGAGAATAATTTACAGAGTGATTACAATATTGTAAAGAAAACAACTGTGAAAAGACAAGATTTATGATCAACGTAATAACCAGTTATAACTCCAGAAGACTGATGATGAGTCATGCTTTCCATCTCTTAGTAGAGATGTGATGGACTATAAGTGCATAATGGGACATATTTTCAGCACAGCAAGTGGATGACTATGACTTACTTGTTACAAAGGAGAGCTTTTATTTTAGGGTAGAGATGAGTGAGTTAGGGAGGGAAGTGAGAGGAAGTAATAGTAATACCAAAAATAAAAAGAGAAATACAAAGAAAGAAAGAAAAGAGGAAAGAAAGAAAGGAGGAGGGAAAGAAAAAAAGAAGGAAGGAAGGAGTATTGAAAAAATATTACAAAACTAAACAAAAGAGAGCAGAAAGGAGTTCAAAAGGAAGCATCCACAAGGGGACTCCTTGTGAAATTTAGTGTGGAACTACCACATTAATTTTTAAATATACAAAAAAGTGTATTCATTTGGGGGGGGAGTAGAAAGACTTTAAAAAGTTTTAGGAATTTTGGATTATTATTGTTATTATATCACACTATTGTTTTTTAGTTTTGGCATCATCTGCTATGTAGAATGTCATTTTCAAAGTTGCCTTTGAAATCTTACCTGCCTCTAATTTGGAAAAGGCTTGAGACAGAGGTTGAACATCTTCCATAGGCAACTTATATACCATCAAAGAGGAATACCTTAGATGGGAGAAAATAAAAATTTGTTCCTTAGTTTTAAAGTTGCAAATTACTATTTTCTTTCAAATAAACAACACTACTGGAAATAATTTTCCATTTTCAGTAAAAAATTTTGGTCTTATATACTAAAGTTCAGTCATGTCCAACTCTTCATGACTCCATTTGGGGTTTTCTCGGCAAAGATACTGGAGTGGTTTGCCATTTCCTTCTCTAGCTCATTTTACAGATGAAGAAACTGAGGCAACAGGGTCAAGTGACTTGCCAAGGGCCGCACAGCTAATAAGTGTCTGAGGTCAAATTGGAACTCAAGAAGATGAGTCTTCCTGACTCCAGGCCATGCACTCTATCCACTGTGCCACCTAGCTATTCATATACTAACTACAAAGTATAAATCTAAAGCCATTCATTCACATTTAGAATTTCATAGGCATTGGGTCTCTCCTTCTCTCTTTCCTAAGACATCTTCCTTACCTTCCTCCCAACCTGGAGTTCACTTGACTTGACTTCTCTAAACCCTAAGATGGGCACCCTACCTATATCTCCCTCCCAGTAAGTACCCTGGGAAATTTTCCCTGCTTTCAAACTACTACCACACCATACTATCTCCCTGCCTACAGCCTCCCTTTCCTCCACTTCCCCCACAAAACCCCACTACTTTCTGAAGACAATGAAAATGTGACAGAACTCCAATTAAGCTACAATAAGACTTTGATGGACTATTATAGTAACTTGCAGAACAACATAGTAGGAAAAACCCTGTAGTCAAGAGAAGTAAGTAGAATCACAGTCCCCTGCAGAATGGTTATAAGAGAACTTGAGATTGATTAGGGGTGCGGAGTTTGGCTGTATAACAAGAGACTGACCAATGAAACCTCAGTCCTACAACTATGTACATATGTGAGTTGGCTTCTGAAAGTGCCATGATATATAATAAAGAAGGCCAGCTCTCCATTTTGAAACATGAGCTGGTATGACTATTTCTGGTCAACAAGCTACATGTTAAGAAAATGGACTTTTGATTGCCTTCTGAGCCAAAACTGAGAACTAAGTATGCTTTTTTTTTTTTGGCTAGGCAGTGGGGTTAAGTGGCTTGCCCAGGGTCACACAGCTAGAAAGTGTCAAGCGTCAGATTTGAACTCAGGTCCTCCTGACCCCAGGGCCAGTGCTCTATTCACTGCACCACTTAGCTGCCCCCTGAGTATGCTTTCTAAAAGCACCAACTAGCTCTGTCTCGCTCTCTCTTTCTCTCTCTCTCTCTCTCTCTCTCTCTCTCTCTCTCTCTCTCTCTCTCTGTTTATTTTTCAGCCATGCTCAGTCTTCAGATGTTAGGTTAGTAATTCAAAACAGATTGTTTAGGTAACAAAATTGTCTTTCTTTATTTTTTTTTTAAATTTTGACTATTTCAACTTTTCCTGTCAATCAATCAATAAACATTTATGTGTCTGCTATATGCCAGGCACTTTGCTAAGTGCTAGAGATAAAAAAAAAAAAGAGGCAAAAGACAGTCTTTGCTCTCAAGGAGCTTACAATCTATACTCCTTCCTTCAACCAATTAATAAACAAGCAATTATTAAGTAACTATGTGAAAGGCTTTATTCTAAGAGCTGGGAACACAGACATAAATAGAATTGCCCTCAAGGAGCTTCTATTCTACTTCTCCATTTTCTGAGTATTAAAAGACACTAATGGTATGGTTTGCTTAGTAGCTAGTGTTCTCAAAGGGAAAACTTGCCTGTAACTTTTGCCTTCAGTAGTTCCATAATCACCTTTTAGAAACAACAATTTATTCCTTTCTTTATTCCCAGGGGAGCTAAACATTCCAGTTCCTATTATCTATCTCTTCCTCAGGAATCAAGCTGTGCTAAAATTTATAGTAAAGCAAGGAAAGCTAACTTTTTCCAACACAGGAAAAAGTTTCCTTACCTTTCTTGCCGAGCAGCCCTTGGAAAAAGCTTCAAAATCTCAGCATGTAGGGGTGTTATTTGCCCAGGTTCTTTCACTTTTATTTCTAGTAAATAATCCTTGCCAAATTTGCTTTTCAGATGTTGAATAGAACCAATACATCTAGGACCCAAAAATCAGGAACATAAAGGAGATAGAGACAGAGACAGAGACAGACAGACAGACAGACAGACAGACACAGACAGACAGAGACACAGAGAGAGACAGAGAGAGACAAGTTGAAAATAATCTATTTCTACTTAATCTATTGCTATAGATTGCTATTATTCTTTGAATAATTAGTGTTGAGGGGGAAAGGAAGAAGGGAGATAGAGCCTCATTATTAAACCAGACCAACAGATCCAACAGCTCATGAAATTGAGTAGGGGAGCAGAAGACCCCCTCCACAGGAATACTCTTTTCCCCACAGTGTTAAGCCTTTGCTTGTGAAGTTGTAATGGGATATTCACCCACCGTAGTTGTCCTGACACTATGATGGCCACCCGGTCACACACAGCCTCAGCCTCTGCCATGTACTGTGTCGTCAGGATAGCACCATTCTCTTTGCTCTTAATGGTTGCTCGAATAGTCTGCCTGGAGTGAAGCCAAGGAAATTCTTGTAATTATTGGAAGCACATTGATGTTTCTGCAAAACTTGGCAAAAGAAAAATGAATTTGTCTGGGGAATTCAGAACAGATAAAAGGGAAAATGATTCTGTAGAGAAAGATGGCAGGGCAGCAAGAGACCAAGCAAGTTGTGTTCCTCCTCTCTAACTAGATGCAGGAATTGAAGGAAAGAAAAATAATGAATGACATATTCTAAGATTAGGCAAAATTTGAAATTAAAAGAGAGAAGCATTGAATTAATCAATAAATAATAAAAATTAAAATAAATTAATAAGACGGAAGACCTGCGGAATATAATAAAATCCTTGAAGAATATACTGGAACTTTAGGTGGGTTATTTATCTCAAATAAGAACTTGGTAGGAAATGGCAAAGAATCTTTTGGTGCTAAATATTGATTTTCCTAGAGCTGATCACTTGGAGTGCATGAGGAACTTTTAAGGTTTAATTATAATAAGACCAACTAAAGGATGAAAATCCAATCAGATCTCTTGCTACTAGGGCTGAGGTCTATAATTCTTCTCACCACATTTGCTGCTGCCCCTCTGAGTCCATCCCAATTGATGGTTCATCCAGAAGTACAATGGCAGGATTTCCCAGGATACTCAGTGCAAAACGCAGCTGCAATGAAGACAATTGCTGTTTGTGATTAGCCTTGCCATGGTGGTGCTTAGAAAAACATCAAGCACAATACATACCTTTTGATTTATGCCTGGTGACAGTTGATTGACTGGAAATTTCATGTGTTCTTGAAGTGTGAGAGCATCTGCTAATCTGATAGAAAATACACTGAATGTGTTATCAAGCTCTGGGCCCTTGGTGGACATTGGGAGAAGGTGCCCATGAAAGAGAGTACAGTTATCCCTTCCACGTCACAGAGGTTAGGGGAACAGTGCCTCCTGTAATCTGGAAACTCAACATAAAATGTTTTGGCCCTCCCTTCATACCGGAGAAGAAGTCTGAATTATTATGGTATTAAAAGATAAAAGATATTAATATTATACATATATTTTATACATTTCAGAGTTTCTAAACTTTTTTAGTGTCATCTGTCAGCCTTCTGTCTGTGGATTCCACAAAACTCCCCCCAAATTCTCATTTAATTTCTTTTACCTACCCACGATTTATCAAAACCATGATGGGGAAAGTTGTGATGTGGAAGGCATAACTGTAACTAGAATTGTTGATTATGATCATTCTGAAAATCCCAGTTCTGGATATCAGAAAGTAGGCTCATTTGGGCACAGGACAGTTCTGGTGCCTCCTAGAAGCCTTGCAATAAAAGGCCAAGTTTGGCCCAGTGGTCTACTTTTATAAGGTTTTCAGTGTGAGTATTTATACCTTAGACATGTACGGCCTTTCAGCTAAGAATGGTTTCCACATTTTTAAATAAAGCTTTATTGTATTTAAAAAATATTTTAAAAATCCTTAGCTCATGGGGAAACAGACCACATTTGGCCCTTAGACTGTAGTATGTTGACCTTTGGAATAGGTTTTTGGCTTTGAAATTTGCTACTTATGTGGTTGCTCATGTCTAAGGTATACGTACTCACACTGAAAATTTAACAATCAACTTTTTAGCTTATCCCAGGACACCTTTGATTCTATCCCAGCTCCAATGCTGATGATCCATGATTTGTGGGGAATATCTTTACGAATCTCCATACCTGATTGCATGTAAAAGAATAACCACACTTTTTCCTAGAGAGAACTAGTATGGGTTCTCTCTGCTCCCTACCGTGAAATCATAACTGTGGCATCGTCCTTATCCATCCCTTTCACTGCAGCATATATCTCCAGGTGTTCTCTCACGGTTACATTTTTCCACAATGAGTTTTCCTGAGCACAGTAGCCAAGGAACTGGAGCATGCCATCTCTTTGTTGACTCATGTGGGCACCGCTCCTTTTCAGCACCACCTGCACAACAGAGCCCTTTTTCAGATCATATGTGTAAAATATATGAACACACATTTCAGCAATATATTCTGTATGATCCACATCTGAATAAAGAATAAGTTTCTAATAATTTAGCTATGGTGAAAGGATGAGAGAGAATAATCGAATGAATACTAGTGTATGTAAAGGCAGAGAAAGTATCTACCGAAAAATGCCTCTTCTCATAGTGTCCCTCACTTCACCATGACAGATGTCCCTTAGATTTCTTATCCTGAAGGGAAGGGAAAGAGAAAGGAATACAGATTTGTATAGTACCTACTATATGCCAGGCACTGTGCTAAGTACTTTAAAAAAATATTATCTCATTTGATCTGTTACCTGGCTGCCTTCTTGAAGCTCAGACCTCCATGATTCTATCATTTAGTGACTAAATTCCTGGTTCTTAATCTCTTTATCTCCTGCCCTAGTTACTTTAACTTTCTCTGCCTTGCTTCCAAACAGCTAGAATCTGACCTTCTTAACACTTACTACTAATCTCCTTGGACGGTCCCCCCCCCCCAAAAAAAAACAAATCACTGGTGTGCTCTGACTCTGCAGGGATTATTATTCTCAGTCCTGGACACTCACTAGACAGACCTTTCTTCACAGTACCATAGCCATTCTCCCTGCCCTTTTCCCTCAGATTGACTCTCCTCTCTGGCTTGCCCAGCTACCACCTAAGGCCTGGTTCTAACAATTGGGGGTGTATGTCCAGAAGACAGACCATTGTTACAATGCATGTATTTGCAAAAAATTGGAGATAGAGAAAAGGATCTTCCTCTCCTTTAAAAGCCATCATCAGCGTCAACACCATACAGTTAATGAACCCAGCATTTTTAGAAGTTGACTATGATAGGAAATGGGTTTATAAAGAAGCTTAAAGAACTGTCTTTATTCTTAAAGTGCACACAATATAATTAGGAAGGTAGAACACAAAGATAAATAACATGCTAAGTGCCAAATGAGTGGAATGGACCTTGAATACTATACTGGTCTGGATATAAACTACACTAATCCCCATCATCTAGATTATATAAAATCTAAGCATGGGCTGTAATTGATATTCTTTTTGTAGTAATATATGTAGATGTATGGACAGCTAGGTGTTGCTGTGGAGAGAGTGCTGGGCCTGAAGTCAGGAAGACTCATCTTCCTGAGTTCAAATCTGGCCTCAGACACTTATTAGTGGGCAAGTCACTTGACCCTGTTTGCCTCTGTTTCCTCATCTGTCCAATGAGCTGGAGAGGGAAATGGAAAATCATTCCAGTATCTTTGCCAAGGAAACTCCAAATGGGGTCACAAAGGGTCAGACATGACTGAAAAATAACAGAACAGTAACAAGCATATATCTTTGCCTGTCAAAGTGATTCTCTTTCTTCAAGATTTAGACCAGGCTTATAAATATCTTCAGTTTTCTGATTCCTCAAGCTCAAAGTTCTTCTCAATTTTTTTCTGCAGCATTTGTCTAGATTTCTCCTGTGCTCCCATCATGTTCAACCCTATGTTATTCTTTTTCTTTTTTGCACATTAGTCATGTTTTAAAGAAGAATTAGAACCAATAGGAGGAACCATAAGAAAGAAGAAAAAAACAAATATACATACATACATACATATGTTGCTGGGGAAAAAAGCACTGATTTATATATCATATAACATCATATACACGTGTCTATGTGTGTTGTCAAGGAGGTATGAATGTTAAAGATTGGAATTTGCTAGTCAGAACAGAAATCATCCAGTGATTCTATCCCCAACTCCCCAGAAGAGTTCCACTGATTGTGGCCAGTAGGGTCTGGACTTTTACAAGTTAGCCTCTACCATTCTAACAGAGGCAGTTGATATCATACGAGAGGGGTAGTTCAGGAACAAGTGTGATGGCAGTGAGGTGAATGCACGGGCATCAGAGTGGCACATGCAAGGGTAGCTGCCACAATCAGGAGCAATGCTGGGGATTTGGAAAGAATCTGTTCAGTAGGTAGCACCAGCCATAAGCTTCACAGCCTCAGAGTCTAGAAATGGAACCACGCATATAAATCAAGGAGGGCATAGACACAACAGGAGGGAACCTGTCACTGAAACTCTCTTTGTTCTGCACACTGTCAGTGATTCCTGCAATTTTCCTTCTCCCCTTTCTCTTTTCCCAACCCCTAGAAGAGCATATGCCTATTCTCCAAATATCATTTTCATAAAACTATGTTTGTCTTTCTCTTTACACTATCTTTTAAGTATGAAAAAATGTGGTTAATCACTATAGTACTGATCCATGTGTATCCTTGCTCAAACACAGCAGAAAGAGGTCATGAGGGAGTCCCCAAGAGGCAGATTTACAACTGTAGTATTTTACTAGAGTAAATTTTCTCTGGCTGGGTGCATGAGCTGTATAAATAAAATCATTCATTTTTACAACTTCCTCCAACAGGAAAAAAAAAAAAGAAACTTGGACCTAGATCTTTCTAGGCAAATGAATAAGCAATTTGGCTGAGGGAGACTGTGATCAGCCAGATGAAACTGGAAGGCATTGCACTACCTTGACCACTTCTTTTACAATGTTTCCTGTAGCTCTGTTTGAAAGGGAAACAATTCTAAAAGAGTGGAGCAACACCGCTCATACAACCATGGGGCAAGTTAAGTCACAGCTATGCTTATCCAGGGCAATGTAGAGTAATTCCATCTTATCTCCATGTGTGTTTGTGTTATGTATGTGTGTGTATGATAGCGAAGTTAAAGAAAAACAAAGACACATCCTTATCTTTGCCTGTCAAAATGATTCTCTCTCTTCAAGATTTAGGCCAGGTTTATGAATATCTTCGGTTCTCTGATTCCTCAAGTTCAAAGTTCTTCTCAATTTTTTTCTGCAGCATTTGTCTAGATTTCTCCTGTGCTCCCATCATGTTCAACCCTATGTTATTCTTTTTCTTTTTTTGCGCATTAGTCATGTTTTAAAGAAGAATTAGAACCAATAGGAGGAACCATGTGAAAGAAGAAACAAAACAAAACAGAAAATTAAGAGAAGAGCAAATACTACACTTCGATCTGTACTCAGACTCCATAGTTCTTTTTCTGGATGTGGACAGCATTTTCCATCATGAGACTTTTGGAGATGTCTTAGATCCTTGCATTGCTGAGAAGAGCTATGTTATTCTTGTCTTTATATGTGTTATACCCCTTTTTGAGGATAAAGATGTTGTCTTTTTCTTCTCTATAGCTCTAACAGATAGCACATTGTCTTGTATTGTGTGGGTGCTTAATAAATGTTTATTGAATTGCATGGTGATCTTATTTGTTCTCATGGCTACTACTATCACCTCTATTTCTATGTATCTATTTCCAACCTGATTTCTGCTGAAATATAAGCTGCTTGCCTGATTGATATTCCCACTTGGATATACTGTTCTTACCTCATTTTCCATCTATCTAAAATCAAACTAATTACCTTTTGCTTAAAGTCAACTCCCCTTTATTACTTTGTTATTTCTGTCAGTGATACTCTTATTTCTTCCAGGTACCCATGATCAAGATCTTGGAGTCAATCTTGATTCTTTCTCCTCTGTCACCATCCCCTCCCAAACATTTGGTCAGTCACTGGTCATTTTGATTCCTTCTTTAAAACTCCTATAGAGCCCATTTCTAGTGGCCAGTCCTGACCCTAAATGGAATCTAAGGGTCTTAGTCTGGTGTTCAAGGCTCTCTTCAATTTGGTCCTTGCCAATTCTACAGCAATATCTTTTCCCATTTCCTACTCAAACACTGTCTTGTAAACAAACTAATCTAACACTCTACTTCCATATAGGATCCCACTTTAAACATATTTTCTCTCTCCTTACTCCTTCATATTTTTCTCTTACCCAAATTCCACTCAAGTCCCAAACATTCTCTGAAGCCCTCCCCACCAGCTGAGTCTTCTGTGACTAATCTCTTTACAACTTCTGTGGTCAGATATTATTATGTAAAAGAACAGCACACACACACACACACACACACACACACACACACCCCGCAATACAGGTTAAATCTATATGGAGGCAGCTTAAGTGGCAAAGCAGACAGAGTGCTGGGTTTAGAGATAGAAGACAAGAGTTCAAATCTGGCCTAAGGCACTTAGTAGATATGTGACACTGGGTAAGTCACTTAATGTCTGTCTGCCTCAGTTTCCTCAACTGTAAAATAGGATAATAAGAGTACCTACCTCAGATATCTGCTGTGAGGATCAAATGAGGTATTTTAAAAGTGCTTAGCACATAGTAGGCACTTAATAAATATCCCCTTTCCCAAACCTCTAGTCTTTTAAAGCAGAAAAGAATTAGCAGGACATTTTAAACAAGATGAGAATAACACAAGCAACTATGCAAAACATGTGGCATATAGGGAAATTGATTTAGTTGCAATAAAAAATTTGCATCACAGTAGGAAGTGGTAAATTTATAGTAAACAAAGGCTAGCTAAGTGGTGCAGTGGATAGAGTGCTGGGTCTGGAATCAGGAAGATGTCTCTTTCTGAATTCAAATCTGGTCTCAGACACTTACTAGCTGTGTGATTCAGGTCAAGTCACTTGACTCTGTTTCCTCATATGTAAAATGAGAAGAAAATGGCAAAACACTCCAGTATCTTTGCCAAGAAAACTCCAAATGGGATCATAAAAAGTCAGACATAACCAAAACAACAACAAAAATAAACACCAGATGAAGGAGGACCTTGAATTCCAGACCTTTAGATGTCATTCTATAGGATACAGAGTTTCGCCAGTGCTTTTTGCACATGGAAAGTAAAATGGGTAAAGTAGTATTTTAGGATGAGCACTTGACAGCAGTATATAGGCTGGATTGAAAGGAGGAAGAGATAATAAGCAAGGAAACCAAATAATAAACTATCAAGACAGCCAGAAATCTAGACAAGCCACAAGGATTTGAAATAGAGGATGGATTCAATAAACATTCCAAAACTCAATCAAACTGACTAGGTGACTGATCAGTTGGGAAGGGTGCAATGGAGAGGAGTAAAGGATAGGTACAAGATTTTGAACCTAGGAAACTAGGTTTTAGGAGTGATCACTAGGAGTGAGGCTATAGAAATGGGGAAGTTAGGAAAAGGAATTAGTTTTAAGGAGAGATCCAGTTAAAAAACAAAAAAGATGACCTAATGATCACTTAGTAATCAGATGGAAGCAGATGAAATATTGAGGAAAACTGAAGGTAGAGAAAGTCAAACAGATTACAGGCTAACAAGGAGAGCAATGCCATAAAAACCAAAAGAGAAGCCAAGGTCCAGGAGGATCCAAGAGGAGATGATATTAAATGCTTCAGAAAAGTCAAGTAGGATAAAAACTTACAAAAGGTCATAAGATTATGGGTAGTGAGTTTTGAGAATGCAGTTTCAATACAATGTATCTAAAGAAGAGATTCTTATCCATTTTTTTATTTGTTGCAGACTTTTTTGGAAGTCTGATGAAATCTGTGGACTCTCTTCTTAGGATAATGTTTTTAAAAGCATAAAATCAAATGGAATATTACAAAAGAAACCAATTTTATTGTAATATAAGTTGTCTATACCAGGGGTGGATTTGTTCTGTGAAGTTCAGATTCATTCAAAGGGCTGCACTTGAGGACCTAAAGTGGCAGGTTCCCCACCCCTGGTCTATGCCAATTTAATCTATATATTTCAAGTTCACAGGTCTCAGGTTAAGAATTCACTTTAAAGTGAGATTATGATGGGGTTAGCATCAAATTGGTGATAAGGAAGTGGATTTCAGCAAGTATCAACTACTATTCTTAGAACTTGAGCAACGAAAACAAAAAGACGTGTAAGAAGGATTGTTTGAGGTAGATGTCAGCATCTGAGTATATTTGGAGTTAATGGTGGAAAGAACAAGTAGATGAAAGAGAGAAGGGAAACTGAGAAAAGTAACTGTGTAGCCTCCCAAAAGAGAATGGAGAGGATAATATAAAAGACACAAGTGCAAAGGCAGGCTTTGACAAACACAAGGGGTGTCTCATTCTTGTTATTAAAAAAGAAAAAAAATGGAGGAGGAGAGGGTCGATGAGGACGTGAAGAAGGTGTGATCTTATGATAGATGATCTTGATCTTCCCAGTCAAGTAGGAGACTAGGTCATCTGCTGCAAGGATAGAGATTGAGGCTTGAGGGAAGAGAAGGGCTGGATTTAATGGGGTATAATGTGTGAGATGTTCGTTTATGCCTACTTTCTGCCACACTACTTTCCAGCTTTTCCCATAGATCAGGAGTTCTTAACCTGGTGTTCATAGACCCCCAAGGAGTCCATGGAGAAATTTCAGGGTATCTGTGAATCTGGATAAAAAAAAATTTTTTTTTCACTAGCCTTTAACTGCAATTTAGCATTTCTTTTAGCACACCCTTCTTATAGGTGAGGAATGATAGTAGTATTAGCTTTCACCAGACTGCCAAAGAGTTTCCTGACCTTAAAAAAAAAGTTAAGAAGACTTGGCTTGAGTAATTCCATTTGAAAACTATCCTTTTCATGAAGATTTAAGTGAGGGAACGTGTATTACAGTTTCCCTCCCTCCCCCCACTTACATAACCATAATATGAACCATCTCAAGTCCAAGAAGATGGTGTTCAGCTGTTGAAGCCAGCCTAATCTAAGTGAACCTTAAGCAACCTTTAAGTTCATGCCTTTGTTTCAGCAATAACTGTCTATGTTGTTTCCTTTGCAGCACATCTCAATTTCAATAGTCTATACCTAAAAATGTTTCGTTGTCTCTCATATGTTATTTCATTCTTATTAACTGATGAATACAAGACACTTCAGTTCTTTAAGGGATAAGGACAGCAGTTTTTCCCAAGCTTGGTCAGGTTGATTTTATTGTTTAATAAAAGTTTGGAGTATGATTTTTATTCCATGATAGGATTGGTTTAGAAAGTCATCTCTTCATTTACTACATGTTATGTTTTGAACTACTAAGTCAGTCAGTCAATATGCGTTTATTGAGCACCTATTGTGTGCCAGCCACTGTGCTAAGTATTAAGGATACAAGGAAAGGCAAAACACAGTCCCTGCTTTCAAGAGGTTCACATTCTAATGGGGAAGACAACAGGAAAACAACTATGTACAAACATGACATTTACAGGATAAGTTGGTGATGGTTAACAGAGGGAAGGCACTGGAATTAAGGGGGATCAAGAAATGTTTTCTCTAGAAGGTGAGATTTTAGCTGGGACGTGAAGGAAGCCAGGGAGACCAGAAGGTAGCAATGAGGTCCAGACATGAGGGGCAGCCAGTGAAAGTACCCAGAGTCTGAGCGTGGAGCATCTCGTTAGGGGAACATCAAGGAAGCCGATGTTACTGATCGTAGGGTACATTAGTGGGGTGCAACATGTAAGAATGCTGGAAAGGTTATGGGGACCCGAATGCCGGAGTATTTTATATTCGATCCTTGAAGAGATAGAGAGTAACTAGAGTTCACTGAGTAGGAAAGAGGGTGATGTGGTCAAAACTGCACTTTGACAGCTGAATGCAACATGGACTAGAGTAAGGAAACACTTGAGGCTGGGAGACCAGCCAGTAGCTTATAGCAATAATTCAGTATGAGGTGATAAAGGTCTCCATCAAGGCATCATCAGAGTCAGAGGAGAAACGGGGACGTTTAGAACTGGTATTACAAAGGTGGAAATGATAGGACTTGTCCACTGACTGGATATGGAGACTGAAAGAGAATGAGGATTCAAGGATGACGCCTCGGTTCTGAGGTTGGGTGACCCAGAGGATAATGGATTGCCCTTGACGACTGTAATAAGGAAATTTGGAAAGGGGCAGGTTGGGGGATAAAGATAACGAGTTTAGCTTTGGACATGTTGAGATGTCTATGGGACATCTAGTTTGAGATATCTAGTAGGCAGCTGGAAATGTAAATCTGGAATTCAGGAAAGAGTATAAGGTTGTATAAGTAGATCTGAGAATCATTAGTGTAGAGATGATAATTGACACCATGGGAGCTGATGAGATCACCAAGTGAGATAGTATAGAAGAAGAGAAGAGGACTTTCTAGGACACCCAGGGTTAGTGGGCATGAACTGGATGAAGATCCAGCAAAGGATACTGAGAAGGAGCCATCAGAGAAGCAGGAGGAGAACCAGAAGAGAGTAGTATCATGAAAACCTAAAGAGAAGAGCATAGCAAGAAGAGGGTCATTCACTACTAAAGGCTCCAGAGAGGACAAGATGTAAAAACCTAAAAATGAATATTAGCAGTCAAGAAATTTATCTTCTGGGAGTCATCCTGCAAAACAATTTCTTTCTGTTTCTCCTACCTTTCCTGCAGTTGGTTTTATGTCTCCGGTTATCATCCTAATTGCTGTACTTTTGCCGGCTCCATTGTGTCCTAGCAGCCCTAGGATCTCACCTAAAAGGAATAGTGATTGCAAGTCAGTTTATGCTCAGATTAATTTACCAACATTCTACACAAATATTCCGTGGAGCCTAAGAGAGCAAGAAGTGTTCTTGAAGTTACTGCATTGACTTTTCACAATATGCCACTGCAATAATCATTACAGTGGCATGGAAATGAGGGGTTCTGTTTCCATTTCCCTTATATCTCTTACAGAACAGGAATTGGGCGTATATGGGAAACCTTTCTGGAGCCTTGCTTTTACAACTTGTCAGTGAAATCTTGATTGATTTAACAGTTTGTTCAGTAGCCCATTCTGAGATAGTGGCACAGGCCTAGTCAGTTTTAAAATCATAAAAATCTCTGCTGCTTCAAGCAGAGCACGTTATCATGTACTTCAACAGAAAGTTTATAGCTTTAATAGAGGTATAATAATTTCCCTATCCTAAGAAATAGCTGTTATTTTGATCAGAACTGTTGTACTTTAATAGTGCAGACACATTTGCCCTGCTTACATATTGAGCACTTTTATATTAACTATTAGTCTCCAAAATTGCCAAAGAATCAGGACCCTCAAAGACCCTAAGCCTAGAAAATGTGGGGGAACTCTGCTAAATGATCGATTTTTTCTAACCTTTTTTAACACAGAAAGAGATGTTTCTTATGGCCAGTTTCTTCTTTCTCTTTGCAAAGCAACTTTTCTTCTTGCTTGCATACTCCTTGCGTAGACAGCTAGCAATAATGAGGGGTTTCTGAAAAAGACAATTTTTATTTCCCCCATAGTTGTCGGTTGAATGCTTCATTCTCCCTGGCTCCATTCTCTGTCCCAAGCTGTGAACCAAAGCAGGCTATACTGGGGGCAGCACCTGTATCATATAGTCAAGGGCGTTGTCCCACCATGTGTTCATGTCTAGGAGGAGATGATCTTTATTTAAGCATGAATGGCATTTTTGCATACATTTTGTGTAATGTCAAGATGCTGAAGGCTGCAAAAGCTAATTTTTAAAACATCAGTATTTTCATGATCTATGGGTCTGAATCATGGAACATCACAATCTCCAAAGAACAAAAATTATAGATGACTCACAGAGCAATGAAAAGATACAAGGTGGGTAACTAGGCTAACAATAATGACTTACATTTTAGAAGTGACGTACAATGATATTATCAAAGATGTGCAGGACTAGAAAAAGAAGTGGGTAGTCATGTAGGGAGAACGAAGGACAACAAATAAATACCAAGAAGCGTGTCAAAGTTGTTTGTTTTTATTTTACCAAAGGAAGGCTTCCAATATGTTGGATAGGTCCTTTGAATAGAATTTATGATAAGACATTGATTAGAACTGCATCAGATAAGACAGCATCCAGGGTTTCAATTCTACACTCATGGTGCAGCATCACTAATGGTATCACAGATCCATCAGAGGTAGATGGTGTGCTGGGATAGGAGTCATACAATCTAGGTTCGAATTCCAGCTCTGCCACTCAAAGTCTCTCTGACCCTGGGTGAGCTAAGACCATTTGTTACATATATAGGATACAGATATATTTACTCTGCTCCTTTCATTTTAGAGTTCCTGAATAACCTTGTACCATTCAAAATTTAACAAAAAGGTAAACTGAGGCAAGATAACATTTATTAACAGGGGAATGCTGCCTGTCAATAAATGAGTCAATGGATTGCCTCTATTTATGCCAAAGACCCTGAGCAAAAGAATAGTTCTTGGGGAGTACATAATAAAGAAAAGAAGAAGGACAGATGACATGATGGGATTAAGAATAACATGACTGGTTACAAAACTGAGGCACAGGGAACAACATGATTGTCTGGTAATGGGGGCTAGAAACTACCTCCCTTCTTCTCTCATGAGACTAAGAAATGCTCATTGTTTAAGTCCACGTGAAAGATAAACTTTTGGACAGCTTGGTAGTGCAAAGATACTAGACCCAAACTCTCTTAAGTTCACACATATTCCCCAAGGTCAGTTAAATCCTTGAGTCAAGAATAGATCAGTGATAATCAGGAGAGCCAGATTTTTTTAAACCAAACCTTTTACAGACCAGCTGAATATCTGAACTAAGTTCAGAGACAAAGAGCCATGACTTATGCAGTTACAGGAAAAAAGCAATTAATTGTAAACAGGATCAATAAGAAAAATTATACAGGATCAATTCACTCTTCTCAACCTCAAACATCATCATGCACTATGGCCCTTTCACATGGAGCAGATTGGTACTGAAAGGAGCAGAATAAATTTATATAAAGAAAAATAATTAAATCAACCAGTAAAAGATGTAGGGTATTGCCACTTTCGTAGGTGAACAGTTTGGTGACTAAAAGGTGTAGGAAAAGAACTTTAAGAAAATTAAAACTGCTAAAATCTTTGTGTTAAGAAACAATTTTCAGATGGAATATGATCATTCTGGTTAAAAAAAGGACCAAAAAATTAACTGTGGCATAAATTTAAAAGCTCTAATCACTTTGTAAAAGATTAAGGGTGATGCCTCTTTTGTATGTGCACAGTTTGATAGTTTAAAGGGGATAAAAAACTTTCATTTATTAAAAAATGACTTAAAAAATGTGTGTATCCATGTGGTAGTGGACCATCTCTGGTAAGATAAATCTGTAGATTAGAAGAAAAAGAAAGAAAGCAGATTAGACTGAGCTCAGAGAAGGACGCCCTGTGTGTCAGATATGAGGTGTTATTGTAGATGGCCATCTTACACATACGTTAAATATGGATTACAGAAATGGAATAACCTTTAAATTGTAGAGAGCAGATTGTTTACTTGATAATTGGTCCAACTAAACATCTAAGTTTTCAGTAAATAATTGTTTTTATTTGTTTGTTTTACCTCATCAAGGTTTGAAGCAGTCAATGCACTTTCTGTTCTTTCTCTTTCTTTCTGAATGTCCTCATCTTCAGCTTTTGGTTCTTCAGGATTGGGACCTGCATCTTTACTTGATGGAAAAATTCTACAGAGAACAAATGAATGTTATAAAAATGCATGGCATGACAGTAGTGCCTCCCTACCCCTTCCATAGCAATTTCTACAAATTGTTTTCCTTGACTTGATTAGATTACCTTCTCCAAAATAGCATCTTTTCTCTATCAGTACAGTTTTTACTATCTTCTAGGCTCTATATCCCCTTCTGGATCACTGCCTTGTCATGGCAGAGGGGCTTGCATAGGTCAATGAAACTATGAGCTATGTTATGCATGGTTACCCAAGAAGGACAGGGTGTAATGGAGAGATCTACCGGAGAAGGAAATGGCAAACCACTCCAGTATCTCTGCCAAGAAGACACCATGAACAGTATTCCTGACATGCTATGGTCTACAGGGTCATGAAGAATTGGACATGACTGAGTGACTGAACAACAGGCTGTACACATTGATAAAATTAACTCTTCCCTCTTCTTTGTCCGCTAAATCCAATCTATCGCCAAGTCCTATTACCCCCCCACACACACATTTTCTCCTTATTTGCCCTTTACTGCTATGGATGTAATCTAGACCACTATGCCTATATTATTGCAGTAGAGGTATTACAGAATCCTTATTATCTGCTTCTTCCTGATTCCAATGTATCCTTTGTCTTATTGTCAAAACATTTTTTTTCCTAACATTGCTTCATTATGTCACTCACTTGCTTAAGAGCCAATAGTAGTTCCTTCTTGCCTATTTTTTCAAATTCAAATTCCTTTCCTGGTTTTCAGATCACTCTACAACCTGATCCCATGTATCTAACTTCAATTTATTCTATTAACCAACACAAATGGTTCATGTCTATCAGTCTATATTTAATATTTCCTGGAAAGCAACAATCACCATTAATTTTTTAACTACGCCTTTTAGGTTTTAATACCATGGAAATTTTCTAGCATCCCTTCCCTCTGCCTAAATCCAGAATCCCTAGTTATCGTGAAGCAAAGCAGTTATGCTGAACTAACCCAAAAAAACAAACTCATATGTGTTATTTGGAGCCCATAGTCCCCTACTCTTCTACAAAGAGAAAGATTTGTTACATCTTCTGTCCTTTGGAACCAATGCTGGTTATTGCCCTTACTCTAAGTTCAGCTACCTTTTAATGTTCTTTTCATTAACATTATCACATAGGCCTTCCCATGTTTCTCTCAATTCATCCAGTTTGTGATTTCTCACAATATAATATATATAATAATAATATATCATTACATTCAAGTAACACTTACATATACCATTCACCAATTGATGGGCATACATTTCTTTCTAGCCTTTCTTTCTTTCTTTCCTTCTTTCTTTCTCTTTGTTAACAAAGGAAATGTTGCTATGAATATTTTCATCTATCATATACATGAGTCCTTTATTTTTGTCTTTTGCTTCTCTGGTACATTTTTTGTACCACATACATATCTTTGTCTTTTATTTTTCTGCTAAGAGAGGTAGTGTGACATAATAGGTTGATTGCTGGGCTTGGAGTAAAAAAAAAAAACCTCTGTTCAACTTCCATCTCTAACACTTACTAGTTCTGAGATCATGGGCAAGTCACTTAATCTTATTGTCTGTTTTCTTAAATCAAGACCACGATAATAATATATGTGATATCGACCTCATTAGGCTGATATGGGTTCAAATAAGATGATATATGCAAACTGCTTTGCAAAATTGAAAAAGCTATATGTCAACTATCATGATTATAACTAGTTGGGGAAACGGGTATCAACAGTTGAGAGACTTTTCTTACATATTTCCATTTCCTGCCAGAATTGTTGGCCAAATTAATAACTCTACCAATAATGTATTAAGAGGCCTGTCTTCCCAGAATTCCTCCTATTTTCTTCATTTATCATATTTGCCTATTTTCTGGGTGTGGTAGAACATCAGCACTCTTAGGTTTGCATTTCTCTTATTCTGAATATTCCATAACATTTTTAATGCAATTGTTGATGATCTTCAATTTAACCATTGAAATTCTTTGTTCATATCCTTTGAATGTTTATCTGTAGAGGGATGACTGTTAGCCATATGTGTTAGAAATCTTGGGATTTATGTCAATAAAACTATGTATTACATTTTTATCTGAGACACTTGGTTCAAGGTTGTTTTTCCCCCCTCCTCTCGGGACTTTTTCTTGTTCTAGTTGCATTGACTATGTTTTCAAAAAAGTATCTGTTTACCCAATAAAAGCTATTTTGTTTCTAAACATGTCCTTTATCCTTTGCTTACTAATTCCCCCTCTTCCACCAGAATAGCTATGAAAAGTACTTCTTCACATTCTCCTAATCCTTTGTTTTATGATGTGACATTTTATATGAGATCATTTGTCCATTTAGAGCTTAGTGTGATTTGCAAGATCCTGGTCTAGATCTATTTTCTGTCAAATGATTTTCCAGTTTTCCCATGAGTCCATGTTGAATAGGATATCCCTTTACCAGTGGTTTGGTGGTTGTTGTTTGAAGGTTATTGAATGCTGAGATTTTGTTCTAGGTATTGTTTTTCTATTTTGCTTTATTGACACACAAAATTTTTTACTACCAAACTTTTGATAGCTATTACTTTTTAAATAGTTTAATATCTGATAATAATGGACCTCCTTTGTTCTTGAATTTTTCAGTATTTTCTTTGAATTTCTTGACCATTAGTTCCTCCAAATTAAATTTCATGTAATTTTGTTTCATTCTATAAAATAATCCTATGGTGGTTTGGTGGTTATAGAAATAAGACTGGCAACGTTTTTAGTCAGTACTATCATTCATATTATGTTGGTATGGTCTACCCACAATGAATAACTTTCATGGTTTTTTGTATTATTTTACTTCTACGAAGATATAATTTTGACATCTCTTTTCCTAGGCTTATTGTTTTGTATTGTGTTTTTTTTTCCATATTAGTGTAACAGCTAACATTTCTAGCACTACACTAAATAATAGTGGAGACAATGGGCACCTTTGCTTAACTTTTGATGTTACTGAGAAAGCTTTTGGTGCTTCATGTTAGTTCTTCATTATATTTAAACAATTTTGACCATATTTAGAACCATGTTTTTGTAAAAAAATAATTTTTAAAATAATGAATTATCATATTTTTCAAAGGATTTATTTTTGATTAAATAATGTAATTAGTATTTTGTCATTAATGCAGTGTCTTTATACTTATTATTCCTGATTTGTCTATCCTATTTCTCTTGTCAAAAAACAGTTCAGGCTGTTAATTTTTTTTTTGTTTTCAACTTTTTTTATTTTCAGAATTTTTACTTCACTAGTTATTGGTGATTTGGCTTTTGCTGTTCCTAAAGTCTGTAATGCCTTTCCTCTTCTCTTTCTACTGAAATCCTATCCATCTTCCAGAGCTCCTCCACTTCATCTTGGTCTTTTCTGATTATATTCACTCATTTTTCCCACTCTATTTCAACAATAGTTAATTACTAATTACCACATGGATAATAGTTATTTTCCCCCCAAGTAAAATGTTATCTCCTTAATTAGAGATTATAACTGATATATTTTTTTCATCCTCACCCACTCACTTCACAATGATAGAATATTATAGCACTTGATCCAGGACTATTATTTAACACATCTTTTCTAAACTGTTTAAGATGATAGCTTTAAATTTTAACGCTAAAATTGAATACCAAGTACTGTTTTATCTCCAAACCTGAATACAGGGTCCATTCCTACCGATTTTTTTTCATACTTCATTTTTTCCAGATACCGTAGAACAAAAACAAAAATGATGCAATGGAGATAAGGCTGGAGGGGTGGAGGCAAAGAAAGAAAACAACAGTTATTAACAATATAACAAAGATCATGTCCATATCTTAATTAAAAGGAGGATGTTTTGTCTCATATTGAGGTAAATATGTAAAGTTATTTTGTAAGTTTGAGAGATAAAATGCATATTCTAAAGATTTCCCTTAGATGTTCTCCCATTTTAATAAGCACTGAGAATGAGAAAGGAAAATTAAATATTCATAACTTATATTTCTCCCAAAACTAGGTGAAGTTCAAAATTTTAGAGTCAAGTCAGAGTCATTTGATATTCACAATTATTATTCCAGTTTTAGGAGTCATCATAACTGTATGAAGTCTGAGTGTCTAAATTCATTTTTTAAAAAATTAAGTCAAATACTATTAAAATGAATGGTATAATATAAATCAATGGTATAACATACCATCAATATAACAATGGCATAAATCAATGGTATAATATAACAAATATTGTCAAAACTTTAAAGTATTGAAACATGGAGAAGTTCTTACTATGAGAATTGAGAAGAATATATTTTTAACAAATGCACCGTTATCTTCATTGTAGTAGAAGAACTGCCAAAGGAAAATAATAGGTAAGTGGAAATTCATCAATTTAATTAATAAATAAATTAGAATGCAGGCATTTAATTTCCTTGCTAATTACATGTCTAGGAACAGCCATTACCTGAATGTGGTAGAAGAGACCTTGCATATTTTGTTCCTATATTAACAGCCTAAATCTTATTCCAATTTAGTTCAACCTAGGTTCCCTAGGGACATTTTGCCTACTGCTGCTTAGGTATGATTCTGAACTGGTAGAGAGAATGATTATTTTTAAAATGCCCAAGTGAGAGTTTTGGAGAAGAGAGACATTATTCATTGCTGCCTCAAGAGAAGACACACATGGTTCTAAACTCTATTTGTGGAGAGAAATGAGGAGACAAAAAAGAGACTTTGAAAAGCAGCAGACCCGTAGAAGTGCTGATGACTCAAATAGTTCCTGATTTCAAGGTTGCCTCCCTAGAGATTTGGGGCAACTTCCTCTTGACTGAAATTAGGGATGCCTTATTTTGGTTGAGTTGAACTACCTTTGTCCCAGTCAAAGAATTTATTTAAACTATGCTTTAAATTTTTTTTTGGAACATCCTAATCTATACAATTTCTCTGTTTTTTGTTTGCAATATGCTTAGATAAATGGATTTATTCACTATATATTATCTGTGCTGCCGTTTAATGTAGCTAGCATTTGGTAGGAAGGAATCAAGCCTTCTGGGTATAACCTTGGGGTACCTTCCCTTTTAAGGGAGAGAAATCAGGAAATCATCTTGAAACTTAAAATGTGTGTGTATAGATGTGTGTGAGTATAGGTGTATGTGTGTATATATACATACACACATATATATGCATGCACACATGTGTTTACATATATGTTATGGGAAAATATATCCTTTTTAAATTCGTGTGATAGGTAACTGCTGCTGAAATAAATATATCACAATATAGAAACACATTTTGCTTGCATTTTTTCTTTTTTCTTAAGGAATAGATTTTCTTTCGAGGTGCAGATAATGGTTTTTCTTTCTAGTTGCATTCTAAAATTATTTCCTATGTACTTGTTAGGTTTCCTTTTCATTTTTTCTTGAAGGTACAATGAGTTTGTTCAAACTAAATTGCCTTGATTCTTACCTGATATTATCATGAAAATATTGTTAAGTGAATGATGAATTTATTAATATGCTATATTTATTAAAATGCCACTGTATGTCATATTAATTGCTATATGTGAATGCATGATAATAAATTCATTGGTATTCTTTTCAGGATTTGAATTCATGTCTATTGCTATGATATTCTATTGTTTAAGCACAGTATATTAATTCAATAGAGCATTGCTGCTACAGTACCACACAGTTATTGATTATATTAATATAGTATTTATTTGTGGATCTAAAAAAGATGGGAGCTCATGCAATTAAGAATTATTGCCTTACAACAGATGAAAAGCATAGAGCTCTCCTAAGTAGACCAAGACTTGAAGAATGAGGACATTTTAAGAATATTGGACAAAAAAGTGAAAGGCTTGGAAGAGCATGCATTTAAAGATGCTAATGTTAAGTCAGGTGATACAATTCAGAGATCTTTCTAGTAGTAAATGGGAATTTTGACCATGGAGATATGCCTTGGAATTGACAGCAGAGAGCTATTCTTGGAAGTTTCATAGAGTTAACCCTCTATGGAGAAAGAATTGCTTAAAGAGATAGAAACCCTTCTAATCAAAAGAGGCATTCTACAGAGAATACTCTAAATAAATCCAGACATACAATTTCATCTGTGAGTTAGGCTAAGGCCATATTTCCAATATTAGACAGATATCATAGACACCAGATCGGCATTTCTCTAGACATGAGACAGTAGGAGGCTTGTGTTGGACAGGCAGCTGTTGGCCTAAGACACAGAGAGAGCCCTGAGCCAGATAAAGCGATGAAAATGACAGAGAGTCTAAGAGGAATAGCCTCAATGGCAATGAGATGTTATCTGATATGCATGTAGAGGGAATTTAGCTGAGGAGTAGCTGATGGTAATTTTACCTTTAATATTGTGTGACATAAAGGAGAGAAACCTGTGGGGTTCCTGTTCATGGTCGATCAATACTTGAGAGTCAAATGCAGAGAGGTGTGGTGGCCCTGAGAATATAGGTAAAATTATACTTCAGAGATTCAACCAGGGCTTGGTACATGGCCCTCATTCTTCCAATGTCACAGTTAGGGAGGCACAGAGACCACTACCAACAATCTTGAAATAAGACAAGTACTTAGGTGGTAGAGTGGATAGAGTGTCAGGCCTGGGGTCAGGAAGATCTGAATTCAAATCCAGCCTCAGACACTTACCCTGGGCAAATCGCTTAACTCTGCCTTATACAAACAAATTTGAGGAGTAAGGAAGCAGATATCTTAGCAACTATGGATAAGTTTCCTTATCCATAAAGTGAGCTTAGAGAAGGAAATGGCAAACTATTTTGTATCTTTGCCAGGAAAACCCCAAATGGGGTCACAAAGAGTCAGACATAACTGAACAAGGGAAAAAGGACAAGATGGATACAGATGCTCTGGCAAAATGTCAGAAAACTAGAGCTGGGGCAATAAGAGAAAAAAGATACATGAGGAATCTGTGATACCCAATAAGCCAGACTATAATCAGGTGGAAGTACAGCCAAGAGCTTGAAATTTATACTAAACAGCATGCTTAACAGACACGGAAACCTTGTTTCATTCAACCAATTTTTCTTGACATGGTTGTCTGAGGATGCCTGGCAGCAAGAAAAGGTGGGTGATAAACAGGTGAGAGAAGAGATACAAACCAAAAATCAAGGTAATGATACCAAGCATCTTGAGTTCCAGTCAGCAGAAGGCATCTTACTAATGAGATGATGGCAGAAGTTGGAGCCTTGCAATGGAGTGCTGCATTGGATTGTGACTGATTCCACACATGGAACCAGGAAGTAGCTGGTATACCCAAAGCTCCACAGGGGGCTGTGACTCAATATTGCCATGAATGACTAACATCATGACTTTGAACATGTGTCAAGAAAGAACCCTAGAACTGATAAAAAGAGAGATTTTTCTGTCTAAGTTGGCTGCAGATCCAAGAAATCTGTGCCAGATGTGTAAAAGGATATTATTACCAACTTGTGCTACTTAGGAATTTGTCTATATTGATTTTTATATGTGGAAGGAGATAGTAAAACTGTGAATCATATCTTAGTGATGACTGGCCATTTCACCAGATATGCACAAGCATACCCAACCAGAAACCAGAAAGCATCTATTATTGCCAAATGGTTGTGGGAAAAATTATTTTTTGTTTTATTTTGAGTGTGTATAATCCAAATAGATACACTCTAATTAAGACAGAGAATTTGAGAGCAAGCTACTCAAAGAAATGTTGACTCAGAAAGGTATCAAAAAGTATAGAATTACTCAAGACCACAGTTTAAATGTTTTATTTTCATACTGTTGAACATGTTGGGATTTCCTTAGTGTGACAAAGTTGTTTTTTTTTCCCCAAAACTCACATTGTCTTGTACATTGGCCAAGCCATTAATGTTGCTTACCTTAACAAGAAAATCACAGATTCCCATTAGTGTAAAAAGGGTACTAATATTGTACACAGTAGCATATGCTGGGTGTTCTCAAAAATGCTCATCAGTAGCACTGAAATCTGAAAGAAAGTATTAAAGGGGAATCATGATAATTTCAGGGTCAAGTTTAATACTTTAGAATTTGGTATTTTCTTAAAATAAATAGTTTTCTAAATTTTAAAAATATTAGTAACATTAATATGACTTATAAAATGCTTTTCTTAAAACAGCCTTAAAAGCTAGATAATGCAAGGAATTTTATTCCACTTTTATGGATGAGAAAAGTAAGGCTCAGAAAGACAAGATGACTCACCTGTATTCACATAGCTAGTAAGTGTTAGTTTCAGGATTCAAACTTCCACTACCAAAGCTTTACTTTGTAGTACCAGATAAATTTCATGATAAATGATAACATTCATCAGGAGGAATGAAAGGTCAAGACTCTCAAGGGAAATATAAAAAGAAATGAAAGATAAAAGTACCAGAACTCAAACTACATAATGAAAATGATCATTAAACTATTCGGTACTGGTTAAAAAAATAGAAAAATTGATCAGGGGGACCAATGAGGTACACAAGACCCATAAGCAATGAAATATAATGGCACTGACAGAAGTAACTTGGGATACGGGGAAAGAGACCTGTGCCCAGAGACATGAAGACCTGAATTCAAAACTGCCCTTAGACACTTACTAATTTGTGACCCTAGGCAAATCACTTTTAACCTCTGTTTGCCTCAGTTTTCTCAACTGGAAAATAGAGATAGCACCTACCTTACAGAGATATTATGAGGATCAAAAGAGATAATATTTGTAAAAAGTACTTAGCACAGTGCCTGACACATAGTAGGTACTATATAAATGTTCATTCTCTCTGCTTCTCTTTCCCTCTCATTGTGAAAAATAAAAGACTACAAGGATTAGGACTCTTTATTTGACGAAAATTGATGGAAAAGATAGAAAGCAGTCTTTCATAAATTAGGTTTAGACTAACTTCTCATAACATAAACTGCATAAGCTCCAAATGGATAGATATGTAACCTAGATATAAAAGATTATACAAACAAATTTGAGGAGTAAGGAAGCAGATATCTTAGCAACTATGGATAGCAGTGAATTCTTAACCAAATAGGCAATAGAAAGGATTAGAATAGATCAAATGGATAATTTAGAGTATATCAAATTGAAAAGTTTGTTGCACAAATAAAATAAATGCAGTCAGAATTAGAAGGTTAAAACATCACCTGGGACACTATCTCTGCAGAAAATTTTCTTTTTTAAGGACTGTTATCCAAACATTCTGGAATACATTTTGAAGCTTATACACCAAAAGTCAATGAACTATACACCCAAGTCATTAAACTATACACATTGACCCAGCAATACCATCACCATACACCAAAGAGATCAAAAAAGAGGGAAAGGATCCATAAGCACCAAAAAAATTTATCATAGCATTTTTCTTTTGTTAAGTCAAAACACTAGTAACAAGTGTGTATCCATCAATTGAGTAATGGCTGGACATATTATGATCTATCCTTAATCTCCAGAGACGATGACCTCTTCTCAATTCTCATCCTTCCTGACTTCTTTGCAGTCTCTGCTACTGTTTATCACCTTCTCTTGCTGAATACTTCCTCCCCTCTGATTGCATAACACTGCCGTTTCTGGGTTCTTCTCATACCTGTCTAACCTCTCTTTAGTGTCTTTTGGTAGATTTTCATCTAGGTCACCTTCACTAACTATATGTGTCTGTCAAGGTTCTATTGTGGGCCTTCTCTTCTCCCTCTATACCATCTTGCTTGATGGTTTCATCTGTTCCCATGGATTCAATTATCATGTTTTTGCAGATGGTTCCTAGATCTATATGCCCAGCCCTAAGATCTCTTCTGAGCTCTAACCCAACATCAGCATCTACATATTGGATATCTCAAATTGGATGTCCTATAGTGTTAAACTCAGCATGTCCAAAACAGAACTAATTATCTTCCCCCAAACCCTCCCTTTTCTCTGACTTTATTATTATATTAAAAGCACCACCATCCAGGCTCACAGGCATAGTGTCATCATTGATGTCTCATTTTTACTCATCCTATATATCTAATATATTATCAAATCTTGTTATGTTCACCTATGTCATGTATCTGCCTTTCTATAGCTTATATGGCCACACCCTTCTACAGGCTCTCACTACTTCTCACCTGAATTAATTGGAATAGATTTCTAATTGGTCACCCTGTATCAGATCTCTGCTCATTCCTCTGCCCATCCTCCATTAAGCTGCCAAAGTGATCTTGCTAAAGCACTGGTCTGACCAAGTCACCTGCCTAATCAATAAACTTCAATGTTTCCCTATGACTTTGAGGATTAAATATAAAATCTTCTGTTGGGAATTTAAAGCCGTTTACAATGTACCTCCTTACCTTTGCAGTCTTTACAGTTTACTCCCCTGCAAAATCCAGCAACATTGTCCTACTTTCTGCTCCTCTCATATGATACTTCATTTCCTAATTCAGTGACTTTTCAATGGATATTTCTGATGCCTAAAATGATCTCCTTCTTTACTTCTGATTCCTAACTTTCCTGGCTTCCTTCAAAGCTCAAATCTACCGTCTCACCAACCATCTCCCCCCTGGTAGTCCTTTCCTATAAGATTATCTTCCATTTATATTGTTTATATGTAATATCCAGTTACAATAATTAGTTTCTTTTAAGACTGGGGTGGGGATGGGGGAAGAATGCATAAAATCCACATGGCCATCTCTTCTGTTGCTTTAGGAAGTTTAGTTTGGCAAAAAGTTATAAATTCAATAAAAATTGCTCCAAGTTCTCAGTTAGGAACATTCTTAACATTTAGACAGAGCCTGGATTCTGCTTTAATTTCCAGTTGTAGGTCTCTCTAGTTAACCTCAGACTTCATTGTGGTTAAGGTAAATTTTTGGTTATTGGAAATGCATCTATAAAGCATTTGCAGGCTAGATCTTCTCCTCCAAGGTGCCTTATTTGTTATGTCCTTTAGATATAGTCTATGCAGCTGGCCCCATAAATGTGCTTTGACCTTCAGGGCCTAAAATTCTAGAGAATGGTGACAGAGAACCTTCCCACAGTGAGCTCATTCTCTTTCCTGGTTTTGGCTGCGATCTTATCTCATGCCCAACTGAAAGCCTCATTGACTTTTGAGTATCCTAACTGCAAAACTTCTCCAATTTCCATTTGCTATTTTACTGTTTGTTATTTTTAATGGTCTTCTTGGGAAGTTGTTATTTGTCTTTCTTTTTCGAAGAGGACCAATGATATCACAGGGTGGTACCTTGACTTGTTCATGAATTGGCTTAAAGTGAGGCAGTTACACAAAATTGACAGCCTCACTCTCTCTTCCAGAATCATCAAAGTCCAGTGACAAGACAAAAGCCAAGATGACTGGTGATAGCTTGGGATACATTGGATGATCTTGATGTCTTCAATGTCTGACCAACCTCTAAGCACTCCCTCCACCTTCATGGCTGTTGGAACAAATTGTTCTCATTCACCCATTCTTCTGAGAGGTCTTCATATGCTTGGGGTAGACATCCCCCTAACTCACCAATGAGTTTGAGGCCTGTTGGTTACCCTCAGCCCGGTTTAGCCCATCTGCCAACACAGTGTACTGGGATGTGGCCACTGCAGATGCTACAGCTTCTTGGAGCCACAGGTGAGAGTTAGATAAAAGACGGACACCAAAGGTTTATAAGAAGCCCTGAAAAGGGCTCAGCAAGCCCTCACACCATAAGGGAAGTTTTGCAGTTAGGATACACAAAAGCCATGAGGCTTTCAGTTGGGCATGAGATAAGATCACAGCCAAAATAAAAGTCATTTTGAAGATAAAAGTGATAACACAGATTTATATAAAGTCCTTTAAAAATGGATGTATCATTTATGCGTACTTACAGTAAAGAAGCAAAGAGACCAAAGGTTACTATTTTTTTTCCCCTTGCAAAAGATGAATGAAATCATATACATGAAGGAGATCATAGATACTGCATAACCAATGACTGACAGGACCTGAAGTTGATAGAAATTGATATTAAACACAGATAAGACAAATTTTCTTCAGAAAAATATGTCAGCTTGTAAAGGTTTACAAAATAAAGTTGATATCAGGAACATTTTATATAATTTTCATTTATGTAATATTGAAAACTTATTTTATATTATTATTTTATTTCAATTATAGGCATTATTATCTTTTTTTCTATTTTATTTTTAAGACTTACCTCAGCAAACATGATTCTGGGGTTATGCCAAAAGTCTGGTAGTATTTTGGCGTTAAAAACATACATAAATGTAAGTGTTAAAAACAGAATCAAACAGTACAGGGGGACATCCACCAGGGCCTGCCCACACCAATATGCAGAAGGGTAGAGGCCTGAAATCCTTAGTTGGGATTGAGCTTTTATCTGATTTAAAAAAAGAAGAGGTACAAAGTGGTTTTGAAGTCTGAAGTTTTAATAAGTACAGTTACACAAAAATGTGCATTTATAATAATGTTCTAACAATGTTCAAAAAACCTGATAGATATCTTGTACTTCACCAAACACCAAACTTCTCAGGGAATAAGTAAGCATCTACTTAATACGTGGAACTCGGGATCTTGTTTTAAACAATTATACATTGGAACATGCATAAGAGAACTGAATTAGGTGTTGCTCATACAAACACTTATATAACATTTAAGAAGAAAACTGATGTATGTAAAAAAGATCTATCCTCTCAGAATAAAATTAGTTGATGTTTAAATAGCTTTTTCTTACTTTGTAATCATAGATGCTGCTCATTGCAATGTAAGGAGAAATGCTGATGGCAACTGATAGCCAGAAAATATTGCTGTCCACAAAACCAAGCTGAATTTTCACATTATCCTAGAAGTATGAAGAATACTATTAGCTATAAGAAGTAAAACAGAAAATGATAAATAATGACAAAGTCAATTTTCCTGGGATGGACAATTTTTGAGGGAAGAAAAGGTAGAAATGTAACACTGAATCTCCATAATAAAGTTAAGAGGGCTTTTATATTTAGGATGATATATATTTTTAACAGAAGAGTACTACCTTGAGTAGCAAGGAGCAATAGAAATTAATTCTCAGATTCATGTTCGAATGAGGGGATTATTTAACACCTCAGACCTGGATTATCACAGTAGCCTACTAGTTGTTCGGTCTGCCACAAGTCTTTCTCTATTCCAGTCCCTTTTCCATTCAGGTGTCAAATTAATCTTCCTAAATCACAGATCTGATCATGTCAGCTCTATGTCATCCCGTACTCAATAAACTCCAATGACTCCTTATCACCTCCAGGATGAAATATAAAAGCATCTGTTTGGCATTCAAAGCCCTTCAAACCTGTGCCCCCTCCACCTTTCCAGTCTTCTTATACTTTACTCCACCCTCCCTTCATCTTCTTATTCAGTGACACTGTCCTAGCTATTCCTAGAAAAGACGCTCCATCTCTGAGTTTGCTCCTGAGTTGCTGCCTCTTCTCCACCATCTTGGCACTGCCCCAGAAAAATAAATAGTTAGAAATAAAGTCAGGAGGCCATTGCATCCAGCCCAAACCACTCTGGTTCAAGACTAGTGCACTGAAATAGGTGATTATCTACATTTGAGAGACTCCAAAGGTTTACCATAACAGTGTACCCTAAGCACATAAACCAAACAGATGAGGAAGATGATAATGATAATGATGATGACAGTAGTGGTGGTGGTGGTGGTGGGAACTGGTACCAAAAATCTTTCCTATATCAGGAGCAACAATGAGAGTGGCGTGGCATCAAACCTCAGCAGCTACCATGCTAAAAAAAAAAAATCCTCTCTAGTTAAGCTTTTCCAGCAGGAAACTGAGGGGAACATTTTACAGCAAATTTCTCTGATAAAGACCTCATTTCTCAAATATATAGAGAATTGAGTCAAATTTATAAAATATATGAATCATTCCACAATTGATAGATGGTTTTCAGAAGTCAAAACTATCTACAGTCACATAAAAATGCTCTAAATCATTGTTGATTAGAGAAATCCAAATTAAAACAATTCTAAAGTGTCACCTCACACCTATCAAATTGGTTAATACGACAAAAAAATAAAATGACAAATATTGGAGGGAAGAATAGGGAACTAATGCAATTTTGGTGAAGTTGTGAACTGATAGAACCATTCTGGAGAGCAATTTGGAACTATGCCCAAAGGGCTATCAAACTGTGCATACCCTTTAAATCCACAATACCTCTAGTAGCTCTATATCCCAAAGAGATCAAAAGAAAAGGAAAAGGACCCATATGTACAAAAATATTTCTAGCAGTTCTTTTTGTGGTGGCAAAGAATTGGAAATTGAGGGGATGCCCATCAATTGGGGAATGGCTGAACAACTTGTGCTATATGAATGTGATGGAATTATTATTGTGCTATAAGAAATGATGAGAAGGCAGGCTGCAGAAAAACCTGGAAAGACTTGAATGAACTGATCAGAATGAAACGAGCAGAACCAGGATATCACTGTACACAGTAACAGCAATATTGTAAATGACGATCAACTGTGAATGACTTAGCTACTCTGACCAATACAATGATCCAAGATAATTCTGAAGGACTTATGATGAAAATGCTGTCCACCTCTAGAGAAAGAACTGATGGAGTCTGAGTGCAGAATGAAGCATAAGTTTTTCACTTTCTTTATTTTCCTTTTTTTTTCTTTGCAACATGGGTAACATAGAATTTTTTTTCATGATTTCACATGCATAATTGATATATTACTTGTCTTCTCAGTGGAGGGTGAAGTGAGTGGGAAGGAGGAAGAAAATTCAGAACTCAAAAATTTTAAAAATGAATGTTAAAATAAAAAAGTAATAAATGGTGGGAATAAGTTAGGCTTTTCCTATATCAGTTGCGCTTTGTCTCAATGGCTTCTGTAAGTAGTCTAGAAGATGATAGTTAAGGTTTAATCTATTTCTCTCCTGCTGGAGACTCCAAAAATAGCTCTTTGCAGACACCCTCCCCATGAGCACAAGCTCATGGTAAAAGGGACCAAAAAAAAGTCCCTCTCCCAGATTCTATTCACTACTGTCATTAATCTCACTGGATATTTTTTTTTTGGCAATACCCTGATTTTGTGTTTATAGAGAACAAATGAGATAGCATAGAAATTGAAAGGCTTAGAAACAAAGTGATAAGTATGAATACCATGTACTTTTGGTGTGGCTCCTTTCCCCCCTTTTCTTTCTACCCCATCCTCTCTAAGCTGTGCACAAACAGGGAATGGATCTCAGCATAGCAGTTTCACCTAATACACCCAATTAGTTCTCAGCAAAGGAAATTGCCTCTCAGCTCCCAACCATTCTTGACCAGCAGAAACTTAAAATCTTGGAGTTTGTGGTTTGGGAGGGAAGCAGTGGAGAGGGAGCAGTCTGCCTAGAAACAGAGCACATCCTGGAGTCATAACTAGCCCAGTTGCACTGAGCACAAAATGACTTCTCTTCTTCCTTCTCTCTCCTAGAACTCTCCCTCTCATAAAAATAATGATTTCAATGTCACCAAACTGGTGAATTCTGGGAAACAGAGTTAATTCCCATGTTTCCATTTCTATGAACAAAGTTCCCAAACTGGCAGCCTGAGAATTGAAGGATTCCATCAACATACCAGAAATTCAAACATTAATCATGCCTAAAGCCATAAGTAGAAATTCTGACACCCAGCACAAATTTAGCCAAGGTTTTGATCACTAAGTATTTAGGTGACTTGACTTGAACATATAGCAAATAAGTATCTGAGGCTGGATTTGAGCTCAGTTCTCCCTAATTCCAGGCCCAGCACTCTACCCACTGTAGCTTATAGCTAAAATTGCTATGGGAAAGGCAGTAGAAGGATCTGTCACTACAATGTAATACTCATCACAACTATTTGGTGCTGGATAAAAATATAGAAAAGTTGATCAGTGGAACAAATTAGATACATAAAACTCAGAAGCAATTAATCACAGTAGTGTAGTGTTTGATAAAACCAAGGACACCAAGTATAAGCATAAAGACTCTCTATTTTAACAAAAAACACAGGGAAAACTGGAAAACAGACTGTCAGAAATTGGAGTTAGACTAAAATCATATCATATGCTACAATAAACTTCAAACTATTATATGACCAGATATTTAAGGCTATCTCAGAAATTTAAAAAGAGGAGAAGGACATAACTTTCACAACTATGAGTAGGGAAAAATTCTTGACAAAAAGATTGAAATGATCATGCAAGATAAAATGGATACTTTTAATTACGTAAAATTAAAAGCTTTGCACAAATAAAATCAAACAGTTGTAAATAAAAGGAAGAAAACCATCAACTAGTAAAAAATAAATCTTGTCATTAAATTTCTCTCCTAAAAGCCTAATATAAAAGATATTATGCATATATGTGTGTATACATACATATATTTATAGATACATATGTATATATACATATATATGTATATATACACATCGATTCAACTACACAAGAACGAGTGATCCCCAGTAGATAAGAAAGCTACCAATAATCATCTTCCCCCAAAAAAAGCACTCCCAATCACTAATGATAAGAGAAATGCTAATTAAACAACTATTGATTTCCACAGCACACCCATCACATTGGCAAAGACGTCCAGAAATGGAAAATAACAGTTGTTGCAGGGGTGACAACAGCACTTTGGAACTAGGCTCCAAAACTCACTTAACTGTATGTTAACTTTTTGGTAATCTGGTCTCCCTAAACAATCTTCATTTCTGAGTTGAGAGGATATGAAATTGGAAATGAAGTCATCATTAAAAGGTTAAATTATGTTCAAATATAATCCATTCAGTAATAAAGGAAAGAAGAAAAGTCTTTAGAAAGAGTTCTTTTAGGGGCAGCAAGGTGGCGCAGTGGATACAGCACCAACCCTGGATTCAGGAGGACCTGAGTTCAAATCTGGCCTCAGACACATAACACTTACCCTGGGCAAGTCACTTAACCCCATTGCCTAGCCAAAAAAAAAAAAAAAGAGTTCTTTTAAAAAAAAAGTTAGTGTATAAATGTTTTGGTTCTTAAAGGGTTAAGCTTCTGTTAGCTGGAAAATTCTCTCCTACAATACTTCATTTCTTAGCAATTGTGGCTAAACAAGTTCTTACAATTATACTTACATAAGCAAATATGCTTCTCTCAGTTTGAATCTGCTCCGAGGAATTAAACATTTTAAGTAGTCCATTACTAATGATGTCCACAAGCACAGGAAAGCAATTCAGTCTCTTGGTGTTACATGCAATTGAAAACTCATAATCCTTAGGGAAAGTAAATGAAAGGTCAATATCACTGGAAAGAAAATGCAATCAATTAGTTACATAAAAATAGTGGTGTTTTTTTTCATTCTTCACTTGAGTGAAAAATCACGTTCAGATCAAGTCTAGAATGTTAAGTAAATTCTATAATTAGTATCTGGGATAGGTTTAATAAATTAGCAGTTTATAACAGTATATTTAACTAATGCTGATTATTGATGTATGGATAATTTGTGCCTGTGATTACAGACATAAAGTACGTCATAAAAGTCAAAAGAATGAAGAATGCTTATCATCAAAAGTATGCCACGCATTGTGATGACCACTTGTCAGGTATATTAAAGCCAGTATCAGTTTGCCATTTCCTTATTCAGCTCATTTTACAGATGAGAAAGCTGAGGCAAATGGGTTTAAATTAAGTGACTTACCCAGGTTCACACAGCTAGGCAAGTATCTGAGGTCACATTTGAACTCAAGAAGAGTTTTCCTGACTTCAAGCCCAGCACTTTATCCACTGTGCCACCTAGCTGCCCAGCTTATGAAGGTCAGCTTATGAAGGGCTTCAAATGAATTTTTATTGACCTCTAATATAATAAGGAGATATTGGAGTTTTATTTTGTTTTTTTTTTTTCAATTTGAAGGTGGTGGAAGGGTGAGTTGATAAGGGCAGCCCTGTGCTTTAGAAAATCACTTTGGCAATAGAGTGGAGAAGGGACTGAAATGTACACAGATTTCAGGCAAGGAGACTAACTAGGAGACAAATGACAGTTCAAGCAAGATGTGATAAGGGCATGTACTAGAGTGGTGGGTGCATGAAAGGAGAAGAGGCTAGATGTGAAAAATGTTGTGAAGGTAGAAACAATATCTGACAACAGATTTGTGGGGCTAGTGCAAGTGAGGCATTGAGAATGATACTATGTTTTGTGAGCCTGGGTGACTGGGAGGATGGTGATGTGTTCAACAGTAACAGGAATATTAAGAAAGGGAAGGTTTGGGGAAACTGATGAGTTCTCATATGGACTTGTTGAGTTTGAGATGCTTATCATATATTCAATTCATGATGTCTGAGAGGCCACAACCTCTGTGAGTAGAAAATAGGAGCTGCCCCACTGGGTACCCAAATTGAACTGGCCAGTTGGGCCACATGGCTGTTTCCTTCTTTCTTTCTTTCCTTCTTTCTTTCTTTCTTTCTTTCTTTCTTTCTTTCTTTCTTTCTCTCTTTTTTTTCTTTCTTTCTTTCTTTCTTTCTTTCTCTCTCTCTTCCTTCCTTCCTTCTTTCCTTCCTTCCTTCTTTCTCTCTTTCTTTCCTTTTTTCTTTCTCTCTCTTTCTTTCTTTCTGTCTTTCTGTCTTTCTCTCTCTATTTCTTCCTTCCTTCCTTCCTTCTTTCTTTCTTTCTCTCTCTCTTCCTTCCTTCCTTCTTTCCTTCCTTCCTTATTTCTCTCTCTCTCTTTCCTTTTTTCTTTCTCTCTCTTTCTTCCTTTCTGTCTTTCTCTCTCTCTATTTCTTCCCTCCTTCCTTCCTTCTTTCTTTCTTTCTTTCTTTCTTTCTTTCTTTCTTTCTTTCTTTCTTTCTTTCTTCTTTCTTTCTTCTTTCTTCTTTCTTTCTTTCTTTCTTTTCCCTCTGTCCACATAGGGTATCATACCCTTATGGATGCTCTGCCCACAGAAATGTAAATTTTGATTCCTGAAACCTTTTTTTTTCTCTTAAGGACAGCACCTTATCAAATCACTCTGGCTCTCAATTATTGGCCAACAGTAGGTCCCAGGACAATCCCCACTTGGTCATTGTTTGGGTTCTTACTGGCTCAAGTGAATGTAAATAGTAATTGTTTGTGTTTTGGACAAAAACCCGAGGGACTTTCTCTTTAAGACTGATTTTTTTTTCACTAAGAAGCCATTCTCTGCCTCATTTCTTACCTAGCCTTAATCACTGACTGGACATTGCCTCAGACAGACTGAGACCTGTTAAAGACCTTAGCCAAAGTCTCCCACAGCATCCTGGGCTATCTCTAGTCATCTTGATCTATATCTAGACAATATCCCCAGTAACTTTGTATAGCCCTCCCAAATTTAATCCAATTCACTTGAATATCAAGGCATCATCTCCCTGATCTCATGGTCCTCTTCTAGAATGAAGGACAAACAACAACCTCTGTGAGTAGAAAATAGGAGGAAGGGGAATTAAGGGGAAATAGAGGAAGTTTTATATCTCTAAATGTTTACATGAATAAAATGGAGAAAGAAGAGATCAATGAATTGGGCATACAACTAAAAAAGCTATAAAAAGAACGAATTAAAAATCCCCAATTAAATACCAAATTAGAAATTCTGAAAGCCAAAGGAGAGATTAATAAAATTGAAATTAAGAAAACTATTGAACTAATAAATAAAACTAAGAACTAGTTTATGAAAAAAAACAATAAAATAGATAACCAGCATCAAAAATGAAAAGGGTGAATTTGCCACCAATGCTGAAGAAATCAAAACAATAATTAGGAGCTATTTTGCCCAACTGTATGCCAATAAACTTGACAATCTTAGTGAAATGGATGAATATTTACAAAAATATAAATTGCCCAGATTAACAGAAGAAGAAATAAAATACTTAACCCCATTTCAGAAAAAGAAATTGAACAAGCCATCAATGAACTCCCTAAGAAAAAATCTCCAGGGCCACATGGATTTACAAGTGAATTCTATCAAACATTTAAAGAAAAATTAATTCCAATACTATATAAACTATTTGATAAAATAGGCGGAGTCCTATCAAATTCTTTTTATGACAAATATGGTTCTGATACCCAAACTGGGAAGAGCCAAACAGAGAAAGAAAATTATAGACCAATTCCCCTAATAAATATAGACGCAAAAAGTTTTAAATCAAATATTAGCAAAGAGATTATAACAACTTAACTCAAGGATAATACACTATGACCAGGTAGGATTTATACCAGGAAAGCAGGGCTGGTTCAATATTAGGAAAACTATCAGTACAACTGACCATATCAACAATATAACTAACAGAAATCATAGCATTATCTCAATAGATGCAGAAAAAGCATTTGACAAAATACAACACCCATTTCTATTTAAAAACACTAGAGAGCATAGGAACAAATGGAGTCTTCCTTAAAATGATAGGTAGCATCTATCTAAAACCATCAGCAAGCATTATATTTAATGGGGATAAGCTAGAAGCATTTCCAATAAGATTGGAGGTAAAACAAGAATGTCCATTATCAGCACTATTATTCAATTATTGTACTAGAAATAGCTTTAGTAATAAGAGAAGAAAAAGAAATTGAAGGAATTAGAATAGGCAAAGAAGAAACAAAGCTATCACTCTTTGCAGATGATATGATGGTATATCTAGAGAATCCTAGAGAATCAAGCAAAAAATTATTTGAAATAATAAACAAATGTAGCAAAGTTGCAGGATATAAAATAAACCCACATAAATCATCGACATTTATATATACTACTAACAAAGCCCAACAGCAAGAGATAGAAAGAGAAATTAAATTTAAAATTCCTGTAGACACTATAAAATATTTAGGAGTCTACCTGCCAAAACACAATCAGGAACTATATGAACACAATTACAAAACACTTTTCATACAAATAAAGTCAGATCTAAATAATTGGAAAAATATCAGTTGCTCATGGGTTAGGCTGAGCTAATGTAATAAAAATGACAATTCTACCTAAATTAATTTACTTATTCAGAGCCATACCAATCAAAGTACCAAAGAAATTATTTCATAGAGTTAGAAAAAAACAATAACAAAATTCATCTCAAAGAACAAAAGTCCAGAATATTAAGGGAATTAATGAAAAAAAAAATGCAAGGGAAGGTGGCCTAGCTGTACCAGATCTTAAATACAATTATAAAGCAGCAATTATCAGAACTACTTGGTACTGGCTAAGAAATAGAGTGGTGGATCAGTGGAATAGGTTAGGTATGCAAGACGCAACAGTCAATGACTATGCTGATCTATTATTTGATAAATCCAAAGACCCCAGCTTCTGGGATAAGAAATTGCTATTTAATAAAAACTGTTGGGAAACTGGAAAATAGTTGAGCAGAAACTGGGTATAGACCAACATCTTACATGCTATACCAAGACAAAGTCCAAATGGGTACACGATTTAGATATAGAGACTGATACTATAAGCAAACTAGGAGAGCAAAGAATAGTTTACCTTTCAGATCTATGGAGAAGGGAAGAATTTATGACCAAACAAGAGACAGAGAACATTATGAAATGCAAAATGGGTCATTTTGATTACATTAAATTGAAAAGTTTTTGCAAAAACAAAGCCAATGCAAGCAAGATTAGGAGGAAAGCAGAAAACTGGGAATTTTTATAACCATTGTTTCTTATAAAAGCCTAATTTCTAAAATATATAGAGAACTGAGTCAAATTTGTAAGAATAAAAGTCATTCCCCAATTGATATGAACAGGATCAAAGGATATGAACAGGCAGTTTTCAGAAGAAGAAACTAAAACTATCTATGGTCATATGAAAAAATGTTCTAAATCACTATTGATCAGAGAAATGCAAATCAAAACCACTCTGAAGTACCACATCACACCTATCAGATTAGCTAACATGACAAAACAGAACAATGACAAATGTTGTAGAAGACGTGGGAAAATTGGAACACTAGTGCTTTGTTGGGGAGTTGTGAACTGATCCAACCATTCTGGAGAGCAACTTGGAACTATGTCCAAAAGACTATAAAATTGCGCATACCTTTTGACCTGGCAATAGCACTTCTAGGTCTGTATCGCAAAGATATCATAAAAATGGGAAAAGGACCCACATGTACAAAAATATTTATAGTAGCTCTTTTTGTGATGGCAAAGAATTGGAAATTGAGAGGATGCCCATCAATTGGGGAAGGGTTGAACAGCTTGTGGCATATGAATGTAATGGAATACTATTGTGCTATAAGAAATGATGAGCAGGCAGACTTCAAAAAAACCTGGAAAGACTTACGTGAACTGATACATAGTGAAATAAACAGAACCAGGAGGACATTGTACACAGTAATAGCCACACTGTGCGATGACTAATTTTGATAGACTTGGCTCTTCACAGCAATGGAAGAATCTAAGATGACTCCAAAAGACTCATAATGGAAAATGATAATCACATTCAGAGAAAGAATTATGGAGTCTGAATGCGGATGGAAGCATATTATTTGCTCTCCTTTTCCTTTGTTGTCTTGTTTTATTGCTTCATTCTCATGGTTCCTCCCATCAGCTCTAATTGTTTTTTACATCATGACTAGTGGGAAAATATGCTGAATATGAATATATAAGTAGAGCCTATATCAGATGCACACCGTCTGGGGAGGGATGAGGGGAGGAAAGGGAAGGGTAGAAAATTTGAAACTCAAAATCTTATGGAAGTGAATGTTGAAAACTGAAAGTAAATTAATTAATTATTAAAAAAAAAAAGAAAGAAAAGAAAGAAAATAGGAGCTGCCCTCCTGGGGACCCAACTGGAACTGGCCTTTCTTTCTTTCTTCCTTTCTTCCTTCCTTCCTTCCTTTCTTTCTTTCTTTCTTTCTTTCTTTCTTTCTTTCTTTCTTTCTTTCTTCCTTCCTTCCTTTCTTTCTTTCTTTTTTTCTTTCTTTCTTTCTTTCCTTCTTCCTTCCTTCCTTCCTTCCTTCCTTACTTCCTTCCTTCCTTCCTTCCTTCATTGCTTCCTTCCTTCTTTGCTTCTTTCTTTTCTTTCTTTCTTTCTTTCTTTCCTTCCTTCCTTCTTCCCATTCCCTCTTTCCATATAGGGTGTCATACCCTTACCTGTGTGTGCTCTGCCCAAAGGAATGTAAATTTTGATTCATTAAATATTTTTTTTCCCTTAAGAACCTCACCTTAAAGTCAAATTATTGTAATGCCAGACTAGAGCTCAAGAGATAATAGGACTGGATATTTAGATCTGGTAATCTTCTTCATAGCAATGATAATTAAATCTATGGGAGCCCCTGAGATCACTAAGTGTGATAGCATAGAGGAAAAAGAGGGAAAAACCTCAGGACAGAGCTGTGGGAGACACTTATAGTTAAGTAGGTGTGACCTAGATAAAGATCAGGAAAAAAGACTAAAGTATAGGTCTACATCTCATTTGTGTAGACTCTACTTATTCCTGCAGTCCCACCCCAGCTTTTTTCACTGAGTCAGAAATAGTCAGAAATAAATCCTCCATCCATTATTTTTTTTCTCATGTGGATAGTAAGGCTGAACTCTTGAGTGCTTATGAATCTAATTTGTACAATGTTCTAGAAATTGATGCAATCACCACATCATCTAATAATAGGAGTAACTAGAAACTCCTGTTATTAATAGGAATTTAGTCTTCTATTTGGACTTTGCCCTAGACTGTACCAATGGTAAATATCTTCCTCAACTATATGATTTATGGCTCACTCGATATTACTAATGAACTCAAACAAAATTCTGTTGTTACTTCTTTCAAGGAATCTTGTATGATTTTGACATACTTTTGAGAGATCCTTTATTGGAAGAGAGTTTTATATTGATATTTTGCTCTACTAAATTAATTGCTTCTTAAAATAAACTTTCAAAAGATAAGCATAGTGATATTTTATGTCTCCTATACTTTTTAGTCAATTATATGTCTGTAAAGATTTGCTCAACTGGAGATACCATTTTGCAAAATCCTGCTTGTTCTGTCATCAAATATATCCTCAATATGAACATGATAAAATTTTGGCATGAATTATATGGATCAGTAATTATTAAAATGTTTTTGATCACCTGTGTGTGTATATATGTGTGTGACAATAGGGAAAGTGCTAGATTTTTCTCAAAAAATAGTAATTCCCTTTCTTTTAGATATTTTGGGAACTGATCCTCTCAAGGCTCTCAAAACTGTGTCGCTACCATCACAGATTTCTACTGATTGAATCTAGTCTAGACTAGCTGCTCATCTCATCTTTGTTTGCTTCAGTGTCATTTTTTTTCACAGCCTTAAACAACACTTCTAGAACAGACAATAAAATCCAAATTTCATTGTTTTACTCTCCTTGATAGTGAAAAAAAATTTGTTTAAAAAAAATCTCTCCAGATATTTTTCATTTCTCCTTTTCTTTCTCTTTCCAAATCTATAATTATATATCCTCAATATTATTGCTTAATTGGTTGACTTATCAAGCTCTCTTGAAATTTGATTTTCACCTCTGCTGTTTTTCACAGGAGGAAATAGGTCTCAGAATCTTCAATTATTCTTTTCCATAAAAACCTAAAAATGAGTTTATATTCTAAACCAGTATGGTCCTACTGCCTGCCATAGTTCTCTGCTGGACAAATATCTGTCTGCAGAATAAATATGTGCTGCCTGAGCTGTTTTCTAGAGTATTTTGGTTTTGTCACTATGCCACTTGATTTATACTGAATAAACTTCCATATGAAATTATTACAATACACATCAATGTATTTTCTGTTCACTTTCCATGGACAGGAGGGGAGAGTCTTCAATTACTACCTTGAATGAGATATGTTGGAAGTAGCTTAATTATATACCAGATTGTGTGTGTGTGTGTGTGTGTGTGTGTGTGTGTGTGAACGCACACGCATAGTCTCTTTTATTTTAGCTTTGTATTAATTTTGACAATTGTAACAAGTTTGTTGTCTGCCTCTAGAAAGATGATTGAGTTAAGATTGACTGAGTAATGGATCTGTGAATTGGTTCAACCATTCTGGAAAGCAACTTGGGACTATTTCTGAAAAGCTGTTAAACTTTGAGCTTTTGACTCAGCCCTAAGAGGTCAAAGAAAGAAGAAAAAGACCTATGGGCATAAAAATATTTATGGAAGATTTTTTGTAGCAGCCTCATCTAGGTAAATGACTAAACAAATTATGGTATTAAGTAATATAATTACTATGGTGCCTTTAAGAAACGATATAATAGGCAGTTTCAGAAGAAACTGGAAAGAACTCCACAAATTGATGCAGAGTTAAGTGAGTCCAAAAATTTATACACTGAGAACAATATTCAAAGAAAAAAAGAAAAACAACTTTGGGGATCACAGTTACCATATACAATCCAGAGGTCAAGCCATAGTCGTAAACTCCCAAAGCAGACATACAAACCCTTTAGAAACCCCTTCCCCAGGTCATTCCAATAGTGAATGATGCCTATACCCAAGATATAGCAACTGTATGTTCCTTTAGGAACTGACCACCCCTTGATCCTGCCCTCTACCTAATTAGCATACTTGACATACAATTCACTGTATCTTTGCTGCATAAGCTTAGCATCACTCCTGTTAGGTTGCGAGTTACCTGCTTTGTAGTGAGTGTTACAATAAATTTTTTGCCACTTGACTGGAAGACTGCTTGAGTCCTTGAATTCTTTCCAGACAACTCTGCCCTGAACCTCAATAGTTTTGGGGTCCATGTACCCATAAAAATCGCATCAATGCCATTTTCAGTATGCCTGAGAACATAAACTATTGGGGTGGAAGAGGAACTCTGTATTGACAAAAACTATAAGGAAAACTGAAAAAAATAAAAGTTTGGAAGTAATTTGGGTTTAGACCAATACCTTACACCAGATAGCACAATAATCTCATAATATGCACTTAGATTATTAAGTGCAGGAGAGAGAGAATCAAATTAGATACCTTTTACAGTTATGGCTAAGGGTAGTGCTCTTAACTGAACAAGGAAGAGTGATCACAAAATATGAAATGGATATTTCTGACTAGATCAAATTGAAAACATTTTGCATTTACCAAATCAATACATGTACAATAAGAAGAAAAATAGTGAGTTGAAAGGGAAGGAGGGCAGAATCTTTGTATCAAATATCTCTTATAAAGGTAAAGCCAAAGTACATAGGAAATTGAATCAAATGTAAAAAACAAAGAGTTATTCTCCAATTAATGAGAAGTCAAAGGGTATGAACAAACAATTCTGAAAAGAATTGCAAACTTTTGATATGCCAGTTTGTTCCAAATTGTTAATGTGGAAAAAAATTAATTTAATTAAATTTAATCTGATCATTAACCAGAGTAATGCAAATTGAAATAACTGTAAGAATGGAAAACATTTTTTTAAAATGGAGGAACTACAGAAAGACAGGATATCCATGGAGTTATGACTAGTGCAAATATTTTGTAACTCCATTTGAAATTATGCTAAGAAAGTAACTAAAATGTTCATATATTTCAACCCAAAAATTTCATTGGCATATCTTCATAGGAAGTAAAAGGTCAAAAAAATTCCCATGTGTACTAAAATTTACACAGCAGCACCTTTTGTGATAGCAAAGAGCTAGAAGCAAAGATCTTTTTTAATGTAGAATATGAATATAATGGAATGCCACTGTATTGTAAGAAAAGATGTATATCAAGAATTCAGATAAACATGGGAAAATTTACATGAACTGATGCAAAATGGAAAACAACACACAACTATAACAATATAAGTGGAAATAGTAATAACAAACAAAAAACCTAGCATTCCCAGAGAAGAGATAAGAAAATTGATCTCTGCCTTTTCAGAAATTGGTGACTATGGATGGAGTAACAATATCAGAATCCATTGAAGTATTGGTTAGTTTTGCTGAACTGACTCTTTTTCTTTTTCATTTTTTTCCTTTCTTTTAAATATTTTGCTATAAAGAGTGGCAACAAATTGGACAGAGGGTTAAAAAAAATCTGACCTTATCCTCTAGCTATAAAGAATAATTAGCTAAAATAAGACCAAATAGTTCAGTTCCTCAGAGAGGGTATTTGAAGCTTCCTCTTCAGTGGCATACTAGTTTCCTGTGGTCTGTCTCTGTCTCCCCTTCCCCACCTCTCAACTGAGAGTTCTGTTTACCCCCTCTGGGTAACATTGACTCATTGACAGCTAGTAAACTGGAGACTGACATACCTTTTTACCTGATACAATGATGGCCCCATTGTACGATGGATCATCTGTGCCATTTTTGTTTCCAAAATCCCATACTTCCAGAACTAGGTTCTGGTGCTTCAAAGAATCTATAAAATCTTCAATGTTTGACCCTAATAAATTATAAACAAAGAGAAGTCATCATGAGAATGTGAAAATAAAAATGTGAAAATTTTATCATTATACCCACCTCATATTCTATTATGCTTTATCAGATGTTTTATATTTATGGCAACAAGAATGACATTGAAGAATGAAAGAGGCTCTTTACAACTGTAAGGACCAGGCTAGTTTGTTTAATGTATTTGTGCCCCCTAAACTTTGCTTGTGCAAATAACTCAGTGAATATTAATATGGCAAACATTGTAGAAGTGAAACATGATTTTTTCCTACATAAATGCATCTAGAACCCTCTGATTTAGGACATTTGGATACTGAGTGTGAAAACCCTCTCATGACCTAGATTTTGAGTGATGAAGCTCAATTTTAGATGATTCTTCAGCAAGGATTTTTTTTCTTTTTCTTTTTAAATCATCTCTACCGTCTGCTTACAATTAGTTGCAAGGATAACTGATTTGTCAAAATGTCTTTCCTAAACAAATCTCCCTTAGAATTATAATTTCACATAATTTATCTTATTGTGTTTTATAGTCTTTCAGCCTTCCTTCTTCCACAAGCTCATTCCCTAAAAACAAACCAAACAAAACTAATACAGTGTGTGTGTGTGTGTGTGTGTGTGTGTGTGTGTGTGTGTGTAGGGTTTTATGATAGTTTTATATATATATATACACACACACACTACACACACACACACACACACACACATGCACTTAAATCTATAATATATAGAAAGTATATGTATATATATGTGTATAGACCTTTCCTAAGTTTCTGAGCACACTTATAACATGCTTGGTACATGCTTTCAACAAAAAAAAATAAATAAAATTAAGGCTAAATTTTAGCCCGATTTCTTTACCTGTGTTATTGATAATCAATAGGCTGGTGAGTGGACTTTGTGGATATTGTCCAGGAGAGAGGAAATACGTTTTAGGTGAAAGTCCCCAAGAAGTTTCTTGACGAAGTATTTTATAAATTAGCACATCTAAAAGGTAAGGTATTGAAGCCAATCCAAACAGCAGTAATCTAAATAGGAAAATAAGTAACAAGGGGGCACATAGGCAGGGGGTTTTTCTTCTTTATAGAAAAAAAATGTGTATTATATCAATCTTGCTATATGCAGGTACGTCATAGCATCTTCCCCTACTTCCATTAGATTATTAAATGCATACAAATTTTCCTACGACATGTGAAAGGAGAGAAGTATAGCTTCCTTGGCTTACTCATTCACAATATAAGGCTAAATCAAAATTTGAATATGTATTCAAAGAGGAGAAGGAAGAACCATGGAATGGTGCAAAATAACTTAGATTTGTAGGCAGACAACCTAGGTTCACATCTTGACTACACTATTTATTGACTATATGGCCATAAGCAAATCATTCAACTTCCCTATGACTATGTTTACCTAAGTCTAAAATAAGAGTTGGACTAGATGTCTCTAAGGGCCCTTCCGGCTCTAAATCTATATTCCTTTCAAATCTTCATATTCAAAACATACAAATGTAAGAAAAATTACCAGTTCATATTTATTAGGCCCAATGGGCAAGAGAGGCTTACAAAGCTGTCAGCTTCCAGGCGTTCTGCAGCAAAAATGACTTTTCACTGCTTCTCTTACTCTTTAGAGAATCCAGTCACCTCCTGATGAATTTTTGCTTTTTTCTGTATTGTCATACAACTAATTGACTACGTAGGGAGAGATGTCTTATCACAGTGAACAGAGCTTTGAAATTGGAGTTAGAGAGACCTGAATTCTGATACTTACTGTACAATCTTAAGCAAGTCACTAAATGCTAATTGTTGTTGTTATTATTAGTCATTAATTGGCTTATCCCTCTTGGTATTTCTCATTCATGGCTTCTTCCCACACTTTTGCAAAGGTGAGGAGCCAACAAGGCTATTTTAAGGGTAGAGGACAAGGAAATGCTCATGAGCATTCATAATGGTACCCAAACACATTTCAGAGGTTTTTGTTTCTTTTTTACCTTTACCACAAAAGCAGCCAATTTTTTTTCTTACATATAGCACTCAGAGCTCCCTTCATACATAGTCTCCTGTCCCAGGTTTGACTCATGGTACGGGTGAATATTACACCAGAAAAATAGCTCATAAGCCTCCACTGATAATTACCTCTATTGTGAATCTGGCTTCTATGGGAGAAGATTGCATGAGAAGGATTGAGAGAAGAGTAAAGGATTTGAGACAGATAAAAAGGAAGAAATTGTGTGCATGATTGAGAGAAGTTTGGACTAGTGAAGAAGGCAAGGCATTTAATTTCAGAGCAAAATTTTGGGGAAGATGGAGGAAAACTTGCAAGAGAATAATCTTTATGTTCAGATAAAGGCACAGAAACTTTAGGGTTCTGTCTAAGAAGATTGAATAAAGGGAAGGATCTAGGAAAACTAAGGAGGATAGAAAATGATTAAGGCATATTAAGAAGGATCAAGGAGGACTTGAAGAGGAAAACAAGGAGAAAAGAAGTTAGCTGGCAAGAGTAGGCAAGGCAGAAAGAAAAACTTAAGTTGAACAATTAGAGAGGTAAGCAAATGGTTGGAATGAAATGGTGGGTGAAAACAGATGTAAAAGATAGAAAAGGGTGTTTTCAAGTTACTAAGTGGAGTTAACTGGCTTTTGGCAGCGAGGTGGCACAGTGTATAGAGTGCCAGTTAGAAAGACTCCTCTTCGTGAGCTCCAATGTGGCCTCAGACACTTGCTAGCTGTGTGAACCTGGGCAAGTCACTTAACCTTGCTTGCTTCAGTTTCCTCATCTCTGAAATTAGCTGGAGGAAGAAATGGCAAGCCACTTTAGTATCTTTGCCAAGAAAACTCCAAATGGGCTCACAAAGAGTTGGATGCAAATGAAACAGCTGAACAACAAAAATTGGCTCTTACCATTTTAACCAAGTGCTTAGAGAAGTGCAAACATTCAAAAGCAGTTGAATCAGATAAACAAATAAAAATGATATAAGTAAGGTGAATTTTAGTGTGTACAAGGAAGATTTTGTTATTCTTTTTAGGTAATAGTTCCAGGATCCCAGATAATATTTCTCAGGAATTATGGTTGAAAACATCTCTACCACACTCATGCAGTGAGATATAGGGATGACATAATGTACATCTGCATTGTGCTAGGTCATGATGATATTGCTAAAGTTAACCTGTGAGCTTAATGTTGGCAAGATGCCTTCTTCGTCTGTTGCCCTATAAAGCAAGTGATCAGTGACTGAGGGAACCCATTTTGGGGATTTGAGTAATGCATAGAGGAATGCATGTACCTGCCTTAATCAGCCCCCATCAAGGCGTGGGGAGAATCTTCATGTCAGTCCTTGCAAGAAGGGTTGTTAGGGAGTGCCGTAGGAGTTGGTGCTCCCATTATTAGCAAACTTCTTTTGAGAAGACTAGACTAGAATAAAGTAAGCTTATTTCACCCCTTATTATGACTCCATTCCTGTCTTCCTGTCTGATCGGATCAAAAGTGAACCTGCTAGTGAGAGAGGTGCTAGAAACCCTCCTGTGTCTCCTACCTGAGAAATAGTGTAGTCGATGTGTTCACTTGTCTAACAAATGGGCTGAAAATTTAACATTGGAGAGTAGAGAGAATTGTTCAGTGACCTGTATTGGGGCTATAATGTTTGTATTCGTATTATAGCTTTGTGATAGTAGTCAATAGTCCAAATCTAGGTCACTCCACACCTCAGTTTGTTAGGGACAGTAAAGCATTTCTAAAGGAAACAGAAATAAGTTTTCAATGGGAAAAAAAGGATTTGCAGTGGAGATGACTCTTGTTGGGAGGTAAGAGAGCGGAAGTGTTACAAAAAGGAGAGAGGGAAGGAAAAGGACTGAGTTAAGCTTAAAGGTCAAAAACAGATTTAAGACTCCTCATGAAAAAGTCAGAGCTGGATGTTTTGAGGAAAAAGAAAGCTATTTAACTGGGTTTGAGTTCTAACTTTATTTCTTACTATGCTGATTAGTAGAAGAGAGACTGTATGTTCTTCCCTGTAATTCACCAAAGAATAATAGAGACAGAAACTATCAGGTCATACAGTGAGGGTCAGTGGAAGAAGAAAAGAGAATTCTGCCTAAGAATATGAAAACTTTTAGCCATTCCTTTCTTCCCTCAGAAACACCTCAGCAAAGGTGAAAAAAAGAGCTCCAGATGAAGAAAAAAATTGATAAAAACAAAAAAGAAATAGCACTAAAGTGTTTGGTGTCAAAATACACTAAAATCAACTAAGAAATCCATGGTTGTTGTTCTTTTGTCCTTCATTCTTGTGATAGGTCAACAATACCCACACATGATTTAATGGTTACTGTTACGGCCCTGATGGCTTAGAGTGAATATAAACAGTAATTGTTTGTACTTTGGCTTTAAACCCAGAGGGTTTTCCCCTCCCACCTTGCTCTTTTTTTTTTCTTTTTGGATTAAAAGGGCCATCCCTTGGCTGACATCTTAAACAGCCCTAATCATTGACCTGGCATTGTTGCCTCAGTCAAAGTGAAAACTTGGAAAGACCTTAACTTAAGAAGCCACGGTCTTCCACTGCATCCTGGGCCATATCCAGTTGTCCTGATCTATATTTTTCACTGGACCCAGATGGCTTCAGAGGAGAAAGTAAGACCAGTGACATTGCACAACTCTGCCTCACTTGAATCCAATCCACTTGCAAGTCAAGACATCACCTTCCTGGTGTCCTCTTCAAAAACAAAGGACAAACAACAACAACAAATAGCAGAAATTGGATGTTTTCCTTTTTATGATCACTTCTGTTCTTACTTGATTAGTTTTGGTTAGGAATTTTGCCTATAAATAGACAAGAAAGGAGTCTCGTTCAATTTTCCTCTAATTTTGTTATGATGAGGTGACATAGTATCACAAGATTGAGACCTTAGCTTAGAAATCATGAAATATAATTCCCTCACTTTGCAGGTGAGGGAATTGAGCCCCAGAACCCTGAAGTGACTTGTCCAGTACCATACAGATGGCAAGAGCACTGGATTGGAGACAGAAAAAAAAAACTGGGTTTGAGTTCTAACTTTGTTTCTTACTATGCTGGTTAGTAGAAGAGAGACTATATGTTCTTCCTTGTGATTCACCAATTTTATAAAAGGATCACATCCTCCCCTGACTGTGGCTCTTCTATTGAACCTGACCCCCTACTCTACTAAACCCTAAGGAGTGGTGGGAAATGCTGGAGCAAAAAATTTTTCCCCCTTCTTCCATTAGAGTTCTGATAATATATTTAAGGAGAAATAAGGGCTTTTAATACTTACAGGGCCAGAAAAGTTTTTCTATCATGTTTTAGTTTTAAAAATCGAAGCCTTGCTATTGCCCAGACTTGTCGTCTCCACAGAGCCATGGGACTGAGTGTCACCTTACTCCTTCCAGGTAGTGAAGAGAGAGGCTGGTCAAGTTCAACAAAGTCTTCAGAGTTTCTTCTCACTTCTGCTTGAGCCTGTACCCAATTGCCAAAATCTGTAGGCAAGTTGAGAAAGAGACAAAACAAAATAAGCTACTTGTAAGATGCTATTCTAAATCCATCAGTTTTCTTTTTTGAGGATATCGAAAAAGCCCTAGAATCTTCATGGTCATGACATGAAGCACAGAACAAATTATGTCAATAAGGCAGCTAGGTGGCACAGTGGAGAGAATGGGGAACTTAGAGTCAGGAAGATCTAAGTTCAGACTCTTACTAACCACGTGACCTTGGGACAAGTCACTTAACCTCCCTCAACCTTCCCCATCTATAAGACACATTAATAAAACATATCTCATAGGATTGTTGTAAGGACTAAATGAGAACACATATAAAGCATTCTGCATACCTTAAATAGCTATCTAAATGTTAGCTGACTTCATGTTCAAACATTTAGTGCCTTAAAAAACACAAATCCAAGAGAGAATGTGAGGCATAGAGGAAACTAAAAAACTTAAATGAGATAAAGGAACTTACTTTTGAGGAAGGAAAAATAAGACATGTACATAGACACTATAGTTTTTTGTAATTTTTTTGTAATTCCATAAACTATTTGTGGTCAAAAAATCCAAACGCTGAGCAAAATTAAATTAAATTATTCCTGAAGAATAAGGATAATTGTTTGAGAGTTTGTCTTTGAGAAATACTTTTATTCTTTCAAGTCATTTGAAAATGTATTTACCTAAAGCAGGAGTTCTTAACCTTTTTTGTTTCATTGGCTACTTTGGCAGTGCGGTGAAGCCTACAGACCCTTTCTCAGGATATTTTTAAATTCATAAAATAAAAACATAAGAATATAAAGGAAACCAAGTTTATTAAAATAAAGTCACCAAATATTAAAAATGAACAAATAAAGAAAATCAAGTTCACAGATCCAAGGCTAAGTAAAAGAGTATCTATTTTGGTTTGGATTTTTTTGTTTGTTTTTGTTCATGAGTACAGATCTATAACTAGGAGTGCTTTTGCTTGTAGAAAAACTTTTAATTGTGCATTGGAGTGGGGTGTTGCCAACTGTAGTTGCACTGCCAATTCTCCCAGAGAATTCTGCCTACCTTGATGATTGTATGGGAAAATGGGCCTGGAGAAAGAGACACAGAAGCAATGGAACACTGAGGGTGTTAGCTTGGGGGATTGGGAAAGGGATTACCTGCATTTCAGTTATACCAGTGAAAGATCATGAGATGAGGTAGGATGTTATGATGGTGGTTGTTGTAGGGGATTAAGCAGGCACTAGGTCAAAGACATTTATTAATTCAGGGTCTGATCTTATTCATTAACTATGTTTTATTTATTGTTAACCTCCAGGTCCTCAAGCACAGTGAGTTGGCACAGGTTCAAAGAATATTAGTTAAATTAAACTAATTAATTAAATAATAATTAAACTGCATTAGCAGTATAGACAACTTCTTATATAGTATTATTAAAAGGACTCAAGAATTGTATCTCTCACAAACATACCTCTGGAGACACATTTGCTATAATTTGTGAAATGACACCTCTAAGTTATTCCTTTGGGAAAAATCTTTACATACTATGAAAATTAAATATATCTGGTGAAAAATTTGTAAATAATTTATAGCTAACATACATATTAACATACGAATTTAATAATGATTCTGAAAGTATAAGTAGCTATACAAGTTTCAATTTTTTAACAGACTGCAAAGAAAAAAATAAGTTCACAGAATGAACATAGAACCTTGGGCTGTGGGGCCATTGCCAGCCAAGACATAATCATTGGCTCATACATTTCAAGTGATAATTTTATTGTTAATTTCCAGCATTTTTATTTACCTGTTTCATCAGTTGCTGTTTTTCCTTCTAGTTTTAGGAATACTTCGTTCAGAGTTGTCATAGAAACACCATAATGCACAATACCTTGGCCATTATAACTATCAATATCTCTGTAAAGGTCTAAAGAACACATCAAAATATTAAAATTATAAGAATTATTACTTAGATTGATAGTAAATATATTGCTAGACAGACAGACAGAAAGAACAGTCTCAGAATTATCCTCAACTCATCTTTCTCCCCTACCCCATTTGTCTAATTAGATCTTACTATTTCTGTCTCTACAACATCTCTCCCATCTGACCCTTCTTTATATTCACATGGCCATTACCTTAGTTCAAATAATCCTTTCCTCTCACCAGGACAATTGCAGTGATCTTCTAGTGCTTTGCCTCATTTTTCTCCCCATTCCAATATGTCTTCAACACAGGTGCCAAAATGAGCCTCCAATGCCAACCTGTTGCTCGTGGGATAAAATATAAACTCTTCTACTTGGCTTTTAAATCCCTTCATAAGCTGTCCCCAAACTATCTTTCTCTCCTCATTATACTTTACTCCACTTCTTACACTTTGTGATCCAACCAGACTGACGTCTCTGTTCTTCATACTGTGTTCTTTTTTCTTATCCTGTACCTTGCACTGACATGATTAGAACACATTCCCTCCTTACCTCATAGAATCTCTCCCCTCCTTCAAGACACTGCTCATGCACCACCTTTTACACAAAGCCTTTCCTGATCATCTCAATTTCTAATTCTCTCCCTACCTCTTATTTTAGAACAAATAGTGAGCCCCCCAAAAAAAACTTACACTTGAAATGAACTCCTTGATAATTAGAATAATAGAAAACAATGATTCCATGAGACAAGAATTGGTAGGGGACAAAAAGCTCAAATATGGATAAATAGAAGAAAACATAAAATATGTGCTATGAAAAAAAACTGACCAGGAAAACAGGTCAAAGAAATAATCTAATAATAATCAGACCACCAGAAATTAGTGTCCTTAAAAAAAGGCCTGGATATCATATTTCGATAAATCATTAGTGAAAACTATTCAAATATATTAGAACCAGAGAGCAAAGTGAAACTAGAAAGAATCCAGCAGTCACCTCCAGAAAGAATTATCAAAATGAAAACTCTCAGTAATGTCATAGCCCAAACCCAGAACATCTAGGCCCAAGGAACAAATGCTCCAAGTTGTGAAAATTAAAAAGATCAAATACCAAGGAACCACAGTTTTGATCACAAAACGTTGGCAGCTACCATGATAAAGAATAGGAGAACTAGAAGCACAATATTCCAAAAAACAAAAGTTAAGGCCTTATAACCAAAATATCTGTCAAAACTGAATGTAAAAGTGCAGAAAGAATAAGGAGATTTAATGAAATGGAAGATTTTTCAGACCTTGATGAAAAGGCCACAACTAAATAGAAATAGAAGTGGAGCTTAAATTTCTCTCTCTCTACATACAGAATTTACAATTCTAAATCAGATAGCTTTCTGACAGTGTAATTCACTGCAATTCAATAGGAAGCTTGAAAGACAGACTAAATATCTGTAGTCCTTAATTAAATGATGATGTATTCCAAAAGAGTTTGGCCCCTGGAAACTGACTCTTTAAATTGAAAGTTCTCTTTCCTTATGTAGGGAAAAATCAAACTTTTCCCTAGTCTGATGAGGTAGAACTAAAAGATGGAAGAGCCCAAGTGGCACCACTTCAATGGAGGACTTCAGTTGAGGCCCCAACAAGAGGTGAGAAAGATAGTTTAGGCATAGCAAAGGCCAGACACAATACCCAGGTTCCAGATAGTGTAGACCAAGCTGGAAAAAAACACACAATGACACTACTGGAAGACATTCTACGTAGTAAGTTACCTGGAAATTTATCCATCCTTTCAAAGGGCAAAGTATACACAAGCTTTTCTTCACTTTCTTCCCTTAATTTGGCATCAGGGATGTGATGTTTAACAAGAGATGTTATTGTCTCTGAGTCACAGTTTTCATTCCTGTGCAAACTGATGGTTTTGTTAAAACAAAAAAGCAATTTGTTAATATTGTGTACTTACCACCACAACCTTGAAAAAAAGAATTTAATGTCTATTTGTATATATCATTTTACTAGGTTTTATGAATGATACAAATAAAATGTCCTTGTCACCGATTTAGAGAAATCTATAACCTATTTTTCAGATTTATTGACATACAAATCACAGCCATGTGACATAATCCCATTCTTAGAAGGGGGTTTAGAAATCATTCAGTTCAACCTTCACCCCCACCCCCATCTTCCTTATGCTTACAGGACTCTTCCCACTCAGTATTATTATCCTTTTAGAGTTAAATCTTTGATCAACTGACTCTATGATCCTGTATAGGTATTCATTAAGTATTTTATGAAACATGAATGTTGCCTGATAATTTGGGGTAAAACAAAGTGCTAATGGGTAAAAAAGAATGTCCTTTCTTCTCTTCCCTATGTACCACTCGAATTCCTTTTGATCTTTCAAAATCCAACTGAAATGCTACTTCCTTCACAAAGCCTTCTCTGGTTGCATCCACTTGGAGCAAAGAATCTACTGTCATTCACATAGCAGTTTATTTTGTATTTTTATAATGTAATTATGTTTTTAAAAATTGAAAATTTTTTATTTAACTTATTATGCGAACTACCAACATATTTCCACTTGAGTCTTCACAAAGATACAATCCCTGAAAACAATTAAGTAAAACAACATAAAAAAGTGATTATGAAATTTTGTAGTAAAGGAGCTGAGAGGCAGTGTGCATGTCCAGATATCCCTCACCAGAATTAGACAAGAAATACACCAAAGAAACTTAAAAGAAAAACTCCAACAACTAATAGTGAAATAAAAAAGAAATTCCCTGAATGGATCAAAGAATTTCTCAGAAAGGAGAGGCAAGCAGTGCAGAGAGACTGAGGAAATGCACAAGCAAATACAAATTAATAATATAATAAAGAAACCCATAATATGACAAAAATGATTATGAGATAAAAGAATTGGATTATGGTATGGGAACTGTAATTAAAGCTGTGAATGAAAAAAATCTCTAAAGGAGAATAGGTAGCATAGAGCAGAAGCTGGAAAACATGGAAAGCAGTAGACACCTTGAAAAAAAAAGAAATGGATAAGAAAGCACCTAAATATCAATGATATAAGAAGAAGCAGTACAATGAATAGAGGGAAACTGGAAGAATAAAGAGATAGCTACCATCAAAAATGACTGACTGGAGAACAGGTTGTGGAAAGAATCTAAGAACCTTCCATTTACCAAGAGAACATGATAAAACCAGGAATTTGAATAACCTATTGAGGAAATCCTAAAATAAAAATGCTGAGTTGTATTGAACCCAAAGGCAAAATATAAATTTATATATTACTCAGTCACCACCAGAAAGGAATCCTAGACATATCTCATCAAAAATATGGTCATCAAGCTCCAGAATCACCAGACTGAATAGAAAATATTGCAAATGAATAAGAGACAGATTGTACAGTAAGGGACACTAGTCAGATACAAAGAGCACTATGTACTGGCTACCTCCCTACTGACTAGAGGCAGGCCTACAGACATGTCCATGTTTCCATCATACTCAAAAAACTCTCACTTGATCCAACCATCTCTGCTAATTATTACCCTATATTTCTATTCAGTTTTATGACTAAACTCCTTGAGAGGACTATCTAAAGTAGATGCCCCCACTTTTCCCTTCATTCTGTTTTTAACTCTTCATAGTCTGGCCTCTGACCTCATCATTTCACTGAAAGTGATCCCTCCAAGGTAACATTACTTACATTAGTGACATTAGAAATCATTAGATTTCTTAATTGACCTCAATTTTTATCCATCTTGATCTTTCTGTAGCATTTGATATTATCAATTACCCTATTCTTGATACTCTCTTATCTCCAGGTTTTCATGATGCTTCTCTCTCCTGGTTTCCCTCCAAACTGTCTGACCACTCCTCTGTCTCCTTTGCTAGATATTCATCCATCTCATACCCACCAACCGTAGGAGACCCACAAAGCTCCTTTCCAGGTTCTCTTCTCTTCTCCCTCTATATTATTTTACTTGATGATCTCATCAGCACCCAGAGTTTCAATAATTATCTTTATGCAGATGATTCTAAGATCTACTTACCCAGTGCTAACTTCCAGACTGACTTCCAGCCTCACATCTTCAACTGCCATCTCAAGACATCTCAAACTGAATGTTTCATAGACATCCTAAATTCAAAATGTCTAAAACTAAACTCATTGTCTTTTCCCTAAAACTCTCCCTTGTCCCTAATTCCCTTTTTACTGTTGAGAGTACTACCATCCTCCCATGCTCACAACCTAGAAATCATCCTCAACTCCTCATCCCCCCACCCAATCAATTGTCAAGTCATCATTTCTACTTTCACAAAATCACTTGCAAATGCTCCCTTCTCTCCTCTGACATTGAAATCAACCTGATGCAGGCCCTCAAAGCTGGTGTGCTGTAATAACCTGTTGGTTGGTCTCCCTGCTTCAAGTCTCTTCACATTCAAATCCATCCTTCATTCCACTGTCAAAGTGATCTTTCTGAAGCAGAGGGCTGTATATATCATTGCTTCCCCCTTCCTTTTTTTCACCTCCCTGCCTTACAATTCAATAAATTCCAATGGCTCCCTATTACTTCCAGAATCAAATAAAAAGTTTTCTGTCTGGCTTTGAAAGTCTATCATAGTCTGCCTCCTTCCTACCTTTCCAGTCTTCTTACACCTTACTCCCCTTCAATCTTCTTGTTCCTCGTACTTGACGTCACATCTCTTAAGAACATTTTCACTTGTTATTCTCTGTGCCTAGAGTGCTGGCCTTTCTTGTCTCTGCTTTCTGGCTTCCCTGGCTCTCTTCCAATCACAGATGATGTCTTACCTACTGCAAGATTTTCTTGGGCCTCCTTAATCTTAGGGCCTCCCCTCTGAGATTACCCTTAATTTATTCTAAATATATAACGTTTACTCTTTTATTGTGTTCAATTCAAGATTACATCCTTTAAGTTTCACTTACTTGGCCAATTTACACGGCAGATTTCCTGCCCAGTTCTGAAATCTTATCATGAAAAAACAAAAGTTTGTGACCTTGCTGAAAGATAATAATATGGGGGAAATTGTCATTACTTTGAAAAAAGTCACATTCTACTTTTTTTTAATTTCTTTTCCTCACTGAATACTCTTAAGTAATTTAAAATGGTCTGTGTTCATGTGAATTTTTCTTTCTTGGATGCTTTCAAAAGTCTCTCCTTTAGCATGATACTCCAGAAACTGGTAACTACATTTCTTAGTCTGTTAAAGTTAGTGTTCTCTGAATTCTGTCTTTTTGAACTTTGTCCTTTGTTTCCAACATGTTTAAGCAATTTTCTTACATGATTTCCTAGAATATGGCATTCAGATTCTTTGTTTCTTCACATTTTGTTCTTGGAGATTAATAATATTTAGATTGTCTTAACTAATTTTGGCTTATAGAAATATGAGATGTTTTGGGTTTTTTGACTTTTTAACCAGTTTTATCATATTTTGATTTGTTCTGTTGTGGGGTTTTTTTGTGTCAACATTGTTTTGTGTATGAGCTATGTTACTTGTACGAGAGTCCGTTATTTCATTTAGCTTTTTCATTGTGCTTTCTTTGTCAATGCTTAAGCTTGTAATCTTGAATTCTTCCTTCAAATATCTTACTTCTGTTCTAACTTTACTTTTTTTCCTTTAGGGTTTTTTTTTTGCAAGATTTTCCCAGTGAGAATTTCTTTTCTTTTCTTTGTTTTTCTTTTGTATTTTTTCATATATGTATATGTGTATAAATATGTATATGTGTGTGTATATACACAAAAGTAATATTTTTCCACATTTGTCATTGTCTTCATGTGATATGGATCTGGTATTTACTCATAGACTTGCTCTCTATCACCTGGCTAATTGTTTCTACCTTACTCCACATAGTTCTGTAAGAACATCTATACCACCCCTCCCCACCCCTACTCCAACTAGCTTCAAAGTTCCATGTGAGCAAGGTATCTTATCTAAGTCTTATGTCTTATCTAAACCTAAATCAGTGCTGTACACATAGTAGGTGCCCAAAGAATGTGCCTTATTTAGAATTCACTTGCTTATACTTTTTTGTTATAGCAGTATGGCCAGTATATATTCCCATAGATTTTTTCCAAAATGCTATACCTTAAATGATATCCAATCCCCCATTTCTTCTTCAGAAACAGAGAAGAACCTGCACACTTCAACTGTCCATTGGACATAAATACTTTCCTATCTGAGAAGAAAGAAGTGAATGAGAAAGTAAGTTAGGATCTTTTCCATTTACTTTAAAGAAACAATAATGAGCTAGGTGATTCACTGACATGCTGATATATAATGGACTATGTGGTCTCACTGCATTTAATGTAAAAATTAAAATTTAAAATTCAGGATTTAAGTAGGCAGTCATTGAAACTGATGTATTCAATGTTTGGTTATGACTTCTTGGCTGTTTCTATGTCTTCTATAACCTTTTGCTGTTGTTGTTTCATCAAAATTGTTTTGGAGAACAGACCTTAAACTTAGCAAATAACTTCATTTTTCAAATGAATACATATCAGTGTGTCCCGGGTTTTTTAATAGCTCAAATATAAAGTCTGACAGCTCTGGGGAAAATAAAACATTCCCATCTAGTGTAGCCTGTCAAGAATATTTACAATAAATTATTTGCCTTGTTACAGTGGGAGCAGTATTCACTGAGATTCGAAGTGCTACCATAAAGTAGACACACAATGTGTAGAAATAATTGTAACACCAGGCATGTCTCCTACACCCTGCCAATCCCAGATTCTTTTGATGTCTTTCATTTCAGTTCTCAGTTCAGTTCTCAGTTCACCTTAGGTGAGACTAACTGCTCACACAAATTCTTAATATGAGAACAATAGGAAAGCAACTCACCAGCCAGTATATCAGCCTCATCCATGAACTGTGTACTCAAGAGGATCCCTTTTTCTGATTTATGTTCTTTTAGGAGATCCCATACTTGATGCCTTGAAAAGGGATCCAATCCAGCAGTTGGTTCATCCAGCAACAAAACCTGTGGGGGTTAAAAAGCACTTTCCCATTCCAAGTGAAGTTTTTTCAGAGACACAGAAATTATGAAACATGTTTTTCAGTTGGACTTTTAATTTTTAAATTGCATTTTCATATAGTTTCTACCTTATCTATATTTAATAATAAAAGAAGAGCATGAACTTGTAGCAATAGCATTAGATTCTTCTATGAATCATCTGCAATTGCAACTTTTCTTACTTGAGGATCTCCTAAAATGGCCACCGCAAAGGTCAGCTTCCTTTTTTGTCCACCACTTAGGTTTTTTGCAACGGTGTCTTGAATTTTTTCATTTCCAATTCCATAACAACTCTTTGTACCTAATCAAAAGAGTAGACCAAATTTGAAAACCAGAGACTCCTTGGCTTAAGCTGTTTTCTTTATGCTCACCATTAAACATGGAAAAACTTTTTGTTGGACTTTCTTGCCCAAACTTATCATAATTTAATTGCAGATGGATATTTGGGCAGAAATAGAATCAGCTTTCCTTATATGAATAGTTTCCATCTCCATCATACCAAGCCTAACATGCTCCTACCTCTTGTTCCACCTTCTGTGGCTGAATCCCTTTAATTTCAGCAAATAGCCTGAGGTTTTCTTTCATGGTGAGGAAGTCAAATTGTACATTGAATTGTGGACAAACACCAATTATCTTTCTGATTTCTTCCAAATCTGCCTTGTCCAACAGTTTGTTGTCATAGATGGTAGCTGAGCCTATAAGTAGAAGTTTAAACAGAGATAAGGGTAGGGGCAGAGAAGGGAATAAGCATTTAAATAACACCTAGTATGTACCAGGCACTATACTAAGTTCTTTTTACAAATATTTTCTCATTGAATAACATAAAAATACTTTGTCAGTCTGGCGTTTGTTCATGGGGAGAGGGATGGAGGAGAGGGATGGAGAAGGGGGGTGGAGATCTCTTACTACATATATTCTATGAAGAAGAGATGTGCTATTTTTCAAATAGCACAGGAAGGGGCAGCTAGGTGGTGCAGTGGATAGAGCACTGGCCTTGAAGTCAGGAGGACCTGAGTTCAAATCCAGCCTCAAACCAAACACTTGACACTTACTAGCTATGTGACTCTGAGCAAGTCACTTAACCCCAGTTGCCTAACCAAAAAAAAAAAATTAGCACAAGAAAGCTTTTCTATGTTACCCTCAAGGATAATCTCATCAGTCAAGCATTCTTATGATTGGTATGTGATTGATGATATTTTCTTGGCCATCATTTTTTGGCTATAGTAATATTTTTTTCCTTTTTTTCCCCCCAGAATCTTTCTTCTTTTAGATAACTTGAAAACTCATGCCACAAAGCCTTTGATTTTTTTGTTCTTGTTGCCAGCAGCATTGATTTATTTTCATGTAATTATCCTGATCTAAATCTTCTCGTCAACTTCATCCTAAAAAGCTGACCAGATTCTTCCTGATTAAGCCTTGAATGACCTGATAGTAGAATTAGTGCAGTGTAGTCATTAGAGTTCTGGGTTTGGGGTAAGGATTGCCTGGGTTCAAATGTCCCTGTCATTTACTACACAGATGACCTTGAGCACTTGTCCAAAGATTTAAAGTCCAGGTGCCTCAGGCAGCTTCCTTAGATTTATCTACTATGGCATAGATAGATTGTGATTTATTGACAAAATCACATGTAAAGAAATATAAGAATGCACATGTCTTAATAATAATTGATGGCCCTACTAAGAATCCCCCTGAGGGGATTAGGGTTAGGGTTAGCTCAGAGTGAACACTCTCAGACTACACTAATTTTATGGAGAATCATCAAAAGATAATAGGAACCAATGATTCTTTATGAAGCCTTTTGTGATCATTGACAAATATGAGGTTCCCTCTCCAAATTACTTGTGTCTCACTCTTAATGCCATCCCAACACCTAGCTTGGTCCACCTCCATCTTATCCCCCACCTGAGTTGTGCAGAGACCCCACAGTTTTTCTGATATGGACTTCTGTGCTTCAGATGCTTTGTGTAGGGCTATTTCTACCAAGTCATGCAACCTCTTCACATACATATTTTGAATGCAAAACAACCTTTTGTACACTTTGCCTTGGGGAAATTAATTTCTCACCTTCTGTTGGAACAATCAGTCCACTAAGGATATTTAGCAGTGTTGATTTTCCTGCTCCACTGTGACCAAGTATTGCAGTGATCTGGCCTTCATAGATGTCCAATTGCAAACCTAGTGGTAAAATGAAAATATCTTATTTTTAGGCTGAAATACTAAAACTAAGCATATCATTATGTTGAGGTTTGGGAGTTTAGGGGTGGTGGAACCCCAAAATCATGACACACAGGTCCTGCTTGAAAGAATTCAACCACAGCCTTCTTTCAGCCAAAGACAAGGTTTATTAGAACATCTGCCATATTGGCCAGACTCTTAGGAATCTTAAAGTTAGGGGGCTATTGGCTAGATTTTAAGAATCTGAGCACCTTAATGGAGACAAGATGGACCTTATATACAGAAAGACTGTGGGAGAGATCCAGGAGTGGCCAAGTAGTCTGAGGGACTGTGTGGTAATAGAATGCCAGGGACCTGGACCACCTGGCCAAGGGAGAATAGAGCATAGCTAGGATTAAGGATGGGAAGTGGCCAGGGGCCATAGGGAGATAAGACAATGGAGGGCTAGGCTAGGTTAAATATAACAGAGAATTGAGAGATTAGGCATAGCCACAATGAAAAGCCAGGATTATAACCTCAGGTGAACCAGAGATTTGGCCCTGTGAGAACACCCAGAGTTTTTCTTTTCTGGGGTCCAGATCCAACCCATCAAGTTTATTCTCAGGAAAAATTCAGAATGAGAATATAAATTTGTTTAGTGCCCAGCTCTAATAATCAATTATTTTGTGATGTTTTCATAGTCACTGAGAGTAAAAGGAGTAAGCAGCTTAGATAACATCACGTATTTCTTCTAAAGATGAACATATGCTTCAAGGGGATGCAACAAATGTTTGCACTCACTGATAAATCAATGAGAAATTGCTGGAGGAGGAGGTATGATCATTTGAATCACTACATTTGACTTGCTGAAGACAACATGTTAAAAAGCATGGAAGCAAGCACACAGCCCTACTTCACTCCATTGGTGACTGAGAAAGCATAAGAGCATCATTATCCAAAAGCCATGCAAATATGCCATTATGAAACTGGCATACAATACTGATGAACTTCTCTGGGCAATGTCAAAAGCCTCTATCAGATTGATGAATATTGTATACAGGCCTCTGTTCTGCTCCTGGCATTTCTCCTAGAGTTGTCAGGCAGCAAACACCACATCAACCGCGCCTTCACCCTTTCTGAAGCCACACTGGCTTTCAGGTAGATGACCATCTGTCAGGTGAAGGATCAGCCTATTAAGGAAGACTCTGGCAAGAATTTTGCCAACAATGACCAAGAAAGACTTCCCTGTGATTGTCACAGGACAATTTATTTCCTTTTCTTTTATAGAGATGGATAATGGAGACATTCTTGAACTCTTGGGGATAAACTCATCTTGCCATATGTAACACAGAAGATTTCAGTCAACTTTTGTATAAGCAGTGGACCCCCTGCCTTATAAATCTCTGATGGAATAGAATCAGCACCAGACACTTCACCGCATGAGAGGATCTTAATGACATTCAAAACCTCTTCTTCAGTTGGAAGTTTAGCTAGAGAAGTACTGACTTCGACCTGAGCATATGGTCAATGATTTCAGCATTGGTTGAGAACACTGTAAAAGCAAGTATTTAGCCCATCTTCTCTAGGATCATGTCCTTATCACTGATCAGTTTGGCTCCATCAATGCTGAATAGTTGAGATGCACCAGAGATCTTTGACCCATGAATAGTCTTAAGGGCATTATAGAAGTGCTTTGGATTGCTGCTATCAGTATGAAATTGAATTTCATCTGTCTTTTTAGTGAGCCAAGAATCCTATATCTCTCTAAGCTTTGATTGTACTTTACTTTTGATGGAGAAGTTGAACGGAAATAAAACAAATGATGAGCCAGTGATCAGGATCTAGGGAGGGGAACAATGGAGTAGCAATGGAGTGAAAACAGATCACTTCACTTATAGATCACATTCTATGTCTTTCACCACTTTCTTCTTGGTAAAGAAAGGAGTGAAGGCCAGGAGGAAGGCAGGAAAATGTATAAGAGAATATGACATAGGGAAATGTATAATTAATAATCATAATAATTAATATGAATGATATAAACTTGTCCATAAAACAGAAGAAGACAGCACAATGGATTAAAAAGCAGCATCCAAACATAGTTTGCAAGAAACACACTAGAAATAAAAATACCTACAATTAAAATAAAGGAACAAAATAGAATTCAGGTAAACTCATAAAAGCAAGAGTAACAATATCTCAAACAAGAAACAATAAAACCATCTACCGAAACAAACTCAAAACTCTATGAACACAATTACAAAACACTCTTCACACAAATAAAATCAGATCTAAATAATTGGAAAAACATCAGTTGCTGGGTAGGCCAAGCTAATATAATAAAAATGACAATCCTACCTAAGCTAATTTACTTATTCAGTGCCATACCAATCAAACTACCAAAAAATTATTTTATAGAGTTAGAAAAAATAATAACAAGATTCATTTGGAAGAACAAAAGTTTCAGAATATCAAAGGAATTAATGAAAAGAAATGCAGGGCAAGGTGGCCTAGCAATTCCAGATCTTAAATTGTATTATAAAGCAGCAATCATCAAAACTGCTTGGTACTGGCTAAGAAATAGAGGTGGATCAATGGAATAGCTTAAATATTCAAGACACAGTAGTCAATGACTATAGTAATCTATTATTTGATAAACCCAAAGACCCCAGCTTCTGGGATAAGAACCCACTCTTTGAAAAAAACTGCTGGGAAAACTGGAAAAGAGTATGGCAGAAACTAGCATAGACCCAAATCTCACACCATATACCAAAATAAATGGGTTCATTGACTTACATATAAAGGCTGATACATAAGCAAACTGGGAGAACAAGGAATAGTTTATCTATCAGATCTATGGAGAACAGAAGAATTCATGACCAAACAGAGAGAGAACATTATGAAAAGCAAAATGGATAATTTTGATTACATGAAATTGAAAAGTTTTTGCACAAACAAAGCCAATGCAACTAAGATTAGAAGGAAGGTAGAAAATTAGGAAAGAATTTTTACAACCAGTCTCTCTGTAAAGCCTCATTTCTAAAATATATAGAGAATTAAGACAAATTTATAAGAACACAAGCCATTCCCCAATTGATAAATGGTCAAAGGATAAACAGACAGTTCTCAGATGAAGAAATTAAAGCCATCTATAGTCATATGAAAAAATGCTCTAAATCATTATTGATTAGAGAAATGCAAATCAAAACAACTCTGAGGTACCACATCACACCTATCAGAATGGCCAACATGACAAAACAGGAAAATGATAAATGTTGGAGAAGATGTGGGAAAATTGGAACACTCATGCATTGTTGGTGGAGTTGTGAAATGATCCAACCATTTTGGAGAACAATTTGGAACTATGCCCAAAGGGCTACAAAAATGTGCATACCCTTTGATCCAGCAATAGCACTTCTAGGGCTGTATTCCAAAGAGATCATACAGATGGGAAAGGGCCCCACATGTACAAAAATATTCATAACAGCTCTTTTTGTGGTAGCAAAGAATTGGAAATTGAGAGGATGCCCATCAATTGGGTAATGGCTGAGTAAGCTGTGTATATGAATGTAGTGGAATACTATTGTGCTGTAAGAAATGATGAACAGGTTGACTTCAGAAAAACCTGGAAAGACTTATATGGTCAGATGCTGAGTGAAGTGAGCAGAACCAAGAGAACTTTGTACACAATAACAGCCACATTGTGCGATGACTAATGTTGATAAGCTTAACCCTTCTCAGCATTACAAGGATCTAAGACACCTCCAGAGGCCTCGTGATGGAAAATGCTATCCACATCCAAGGAAAGAACTATAGAAGCTGAATCGCTATCATTTTTTTTCTCTTCTGTTGAGTTTTGTTTCCTCTTTCTGGTGGTTCCTCCTATTGGTTTTAATTTTTACCTACAACTTCACTAATGTGAAAATGTTTAATAGGAATGTAAATGTATAGCCTATATCAGATTGTGTTCTGTCTTGGGGAGGGTGGTGGGAAGGAAGGGGGAGAAAAATTTTAAACTCAAAAGCATACGGAAGTGATTATTGATAAATCAAAATAAACTAATAAAATTTAAAATTTAAAAAAGAAAAAAGAAACAATAAAACCAGATGTAGGTTAAAGAGGTAAAGGCAGAAATTATATTATACTTAAAAGCATCATAGACAGTGGAATAATATAATAATTAACAAATGTTCATCAAATTGTATAGCACCTAAGTACCTAAAATAAACCCTAATCAAATTATAGGAAGAAATAGGGCATAAAACTATAATAGTTGGAGACTTTAATGTACCTCTTTTCATGCCTACATAAATCCAATCAAAAAAATAAAGTCCCATTTAGGGCTAAAAAAAAATTGGATATGATGGGTCTCAGCAGGGAGGTAGCCAGAAAATAAGGAGAGATTGAAAGTGATAAAGAGAGGGATAAAAGGGACAAGACCCTAGACCAGAAGAGAGGGAATGAGATCCAGTGCACAAATAGGACACAATAGAACACAATTTCATTGGCAAAAAGAAACTACTTTTACTTCAAAAACTGGTTCAGAGTAGGAGAGATTGGGTGAAAATGTCAGGAGAAAGTAACAAAAATGAAGGGCAGAAGAAAAGATGGCCTCAGTTTTCTTAGTAAATATTGAGAATCTCATATGCTGTGATACAAAGGGTGGGGCAATGGCATGCTGGTAAATACTTAACAACTAGCTCTCCAAAATATATATATACCAGTAACATACATTTTTGTGTTTTATCTGCCTTAATAACATTTTCTCTATCATTTTCTTAAGTACAGATAATCAAAGAAATAAAAAAAAACCCTGATTTGTAACACTTGCCCATTTCTGAGGTATAAATATTAGCAGTAAAGATTTAATAATAAGTTCTTATTAGCTACCAGTTGGTTCTAGCATACCACTGGGTAAAGGTGACATTGAGGTACTGAGAAGAGAGGAATAGGTATAAAAGCTCCATTGTTGGAGTATGATAGAGAATCAAAAACAAAAGAACTACCATCAAACTGTGAGACTC